CTCAAGGCCTTGATGTCCTCCTTGTCATTGTTATCCTCCCTTGCACGCTTCTCCTCCTTCAGAGGCCACCAGACAAGGTCTGCCTTGGTCCACTTGCCTGTGTAGGATGCAACAAGGGGCACCATATTTCCTTCTGCTGCTGTGGCTGCTGCAGAGGCATCATCTGCTGCTGCTTTCTGCGCTCTCTGCAGGTTGATCTGCGCTGTTCTAGCGCGCACATGCGCACGCGCAGCATGGAGATGGCCTGACAGGTACTGTTGCCCTTATGCTGCCTCTGAAGCAAGGCCAGATTGGCGTGGTCTCAATTGCACTTGCTTGAGCAGCAGCGGCCAGAAGACTGCATTTTCATCCCAGCTGGTGCACTGCACCAGGTCCACAACACATTGCTATGCATCAAGCTTGCTGCTAACATTGTGGCCCCTAGCCAGGGGTAATGCGCAATCTGTGAATATATCTGCAAATGTCTGCAAGGAGCAATGCAACCTGGAGCTGACAGGCATCTGGCTGCACCCCACACAGTCACTCTTCCACGTGTGGTGCTGCCAGCTAACCAACAGGAACACCATTGCTGGCATCGATGCAGACAATCTGTTCTGGCAAATGGGCCTTGGCAGGCCGCAGCAGCGTAGCTAGACTTGACTCTCAATTGACAACTGTGTCTGTGTGTGGCTGCAGCGCACTGCATGAGAGAGACCTGAGCGGCCCAGGCGCAGACAGCTTGCACAACCCTCAAGTATGGCGGGACAATGCACGTTGCACCGGTTGCCAGTGGCCTCTTGGGCCCAGAGATGCGCATCAAGCAAGACGCCGGCTCTTTGATGAGCCGCCTCACCAGCCTGCGCCTTGAGTGGCAGCTGTTTGCTCTTCTCAGTGTTGACAACGGCGTCAAGAGCGTTGCAGCCTGGCGTGCCTTGCGCGTCAGCCAAGATATGGAGCGCGTGCTCATTGCGCCAAGTGATGCTGCTTGGGTGGCCGTCTACGTGCTTGCCAAGCCAAGAAATGCTGCTGGCTGGCCGTCTACATGCTTGCTGTCAGCATGCTTGCTGTCAGCAATGCTCAGACCGCAATGCTCAATGCTCAACTGATTCAATTTGTCATCCAGCAAGGGGCTCAAAGCCAATCTCCTGCAGCTACTGGAAGCGGTGCAGGACGTGCTCTTGGGCATGGGCAACCGCAGCAGCTGCCCGCATGCCAGCGTGGTATGACATGCCTTTCATCTGCGCAACCCAGCAACCAAGACCCTTCCATGTCATGGACAGCAGCACCTGAGGAATGCCCGCAAGCGGCAGTGCCTCTTTCCAAAGCTTGTAGACAAACAGGCCATGCCCAACATAGAGGACAAGAGATCTGTGCAGGCCGTCCCCCTAGGGTTGTTCTAGTGCGGGACAAGCCCAGAACAAGTGAACATGATTTCTTCTGGCTGGCCAAAGAGCTTGGCTTTCAGCCCTTCCTTGAAGCGGTTGTGCTTGGTATTCTTGGGAGTGCAGCCTGCCCGCATGGAGAGGGCACTGCCCTTCCATGCCCCATGCACAGCATACAGCAAGACAAAACAGACAGCCAAGCCTGCGTCATTGGTGTTGCAATGGGGCTTGAGCCTCACGGTCTGTCTTGCCAAAGAGGAGGACTCAAGGTTTGGCCTTTTGATGACAAGAGACGCAAATGGGAGGAAGATGAACAATCCCTGCGCCACAAGTTAGCAAGCGTCTGCAGGGCGGGTTGGTGAGCAATGCTGGTCTTGCTTGTCTTGCTCCCCTTGCTTGTCTCCCTTGTCTCCCTTGTCTTACTTGTACTCACCTTCACAAGAGATGTCCTTGTTGAGCACCCACCTTGCTTGCTCTTTGTCTGGGCACCACGGTTCTGTGTACGTGCTGGCAAGCTCTGCCTTTGCGCGCCACACAGAGGGAAAGTGCAGGGCCAGCAGCACCAAGCAGCATTTGCGGACCAAACATACCTGCAGATGGCACTTCAGCCTAGCCAAGCGTTCTTGGTGTCTCAGAGACTCACATGCAGAGAACAGAGGAACTATGCCACTGCCAGCGCGTCCTTCTGCAGGCCAGCATTGGATTCAGGCAGGAGGGCGCCAGACCATCCGCCTATGCCGCGGAGGTTGAGATGTGCAACCTTCCACATCTCCTGGAGCCGCTGCTTGTTTGCAGCACGCTCTGCAGCAGAGGCTTGCGCCAGCCGCTGCGGTTCTGGATCTTTGAACATTGCCGCCAGCAGGACGTAGACATCCTTGGCAGTCCACGCTATGGCAGTCAGCCACAGCTTGTTGTAGAAGGACGCCATGCCCGCAGGACACCAGCCGGCGCTCAACACAAACGCCTGCAGCGTTGGCCTCAATGAGCTCTCCAGGCAGTTGCAAGCACGAGGAGACCTGTGGTCTGTCTGTTGATATTAGCATGCTGATTTGACCATCCAAAGGCCTGCAAGGCAAAGCAGCAGAGAATGTCAGCAAGGCATGGGGCTTTGTGCTGCATTGCACCAGACACATGTAGCAGCACTCCACCAAGGCAAATGGGAAGACAAGCATGAGCGCTGGTGAAGCAGATGACAAGGATTTGCATTGCAGAGTCCAGTGCACAAAGGACATTGTAGTAGATGTCCTTGTTGAGATTTGCAAAGAGGTCAGGTAGCAGATGCATGTGTTGCACTATTGCGTTTTGGTGCTGCTGGGACTGCCCAGATATAGGCACTGGTATTGTAGGCAGGCCATGGCTTTGAGGACAAGGCATCATTCTGCAGGAGCCTGCAGACCTTTGACCCGCCTTGCTTGTCCTTCTACAGCACAGCATGTAGCATGAAGTCTTGGCCAAGCAACAGAGCTGACTTGCCAGTGTTGCTTGTAATGTTGCTTGTCAAATAGACAGATGAGTGCAGCACTTCTCAAACCCAACTGCTTGTTGCTTGAAGCAGTTACTGCCAGCAACCTGATCTCAAGGAACAGACCAGTGGAGATGTTGATAGACTGATGAACAGCAAGGTGTGCTTGCATGCAAGCATGGTCATGCTTGAGGCAAATTTTGCGCAGCAGTGTTTTGCTTGCCAGCCTGCTCAGACAAACATTAAAGTCTGTGGTGCACCTGGGGCAGATGGTGCCAGGTGCAGTGTCTTGAGCTTGCGCACTGCTGTAGCTCACAGCTGACAATAGCAGCCTGTGTCTACCAGGCAAATCTGACACTGACTGAGGCATTTTGGTGCAATTGACGCTTGCCAGATGATTTTGACTATGTGTTAAATAGTTTGCATCAGGGTAGGCCACATCATTGGGTGCAGCTCACAGGGATGAAGGCTGCAATGCACATTAATCTCAGTGCTGCAGTGAAGTATGGCAGCAATTACAGAGAGCCCCTTGTTTCATCAAGAGTAAGGCACAGGTCTCAAAGCAGCCACATAGCCTGCCATTGCCTTGGCAACTTCATGGGCATTTGCCATTGAGGAGGACTGCTTTGACTATCATATCTGTCTGAGAGACTCTGTGCTTCTGTGCTTGCATCCGCTGTAGGCGCCCTGCATTGCAGAAGCCTTAGCATTTACAAAAGTTGACAGTGCACATTGCGCAGTCATTGCCACACAGCAGGTGACACACATGTTGGAGAGCAGGAGAAGGTTGCTATTGGAGAGCAGGAAGATTTGATGCAACTCTTGCTAGAGTACAGCAGGTGTCAGGTCTGTATCTGGCATCATGAGGAGCTTGCAGAGCTGTTGGGCAACAGAAGTGCTTGTCTACCATAGCGTGGTGAAAACCTGGGCAAAGGACATGGCAAGGAGCGGCAGCGCACACGCAAAGCGCCAGGCTGAGCCAATGGCCACAAGACGTTAAAATTGACAGCCGGTGGCGCGTGTGCACATCATTGCGGAACGGAACAAGCAGCAGAGAGCGTAGGCACATCATTGCAGACCAGAACAAGCAGCAGAGAGCGTAGGCACATCATTGCAGACCGGAACAAGCAGGCGGGCTACTCACCATGATAGCCTCTTTCACGCTGCTGGTGTGTGAACAGCAAGCAGCAAGCTGCAACGCACAATGCAATGCACATGTTGTGGGCAGCAAGCTCTGTTGGAGCAAGCGCCGTGCCTTTTGTAGGCGGGCAGTTGAGTGGCAACCAAGGCAGTGGTTGGGGCGGCGCTGCTGAGGACAGCGGCCCGGGGGGGAGAGAGAGAGAGAGAGGAGGAGCACGCCGCCAGAGCAGCAGCTGATAGGCAACTTTTTGGGTTTTCTTTACCGCCTTGCCCCAAGTCTGCAGGCAGGGGACACCCATCTCCCAGAGTATGGGACAGAAGCGTAGTGAGGGTTGGTTGGAAGCGGCCCCGCGCGGCCTGTGAGGGCCTGTTGCATGTGGTGCGCACGCCAGAGGAGCAGAAAGATGTTGTGGTTGCTGCTCTTGCAGCCGTAGCGCAACAGCAACAATGTGGGGTTTGCCACAATGTTGTTGGCAAGCTCTGCTTGAGCGTGTGGGCTAATGTGCAGCAGCAATGCAGCATGTTGCTCAAGACATGCGCGCCCTGCGCAAGGTAGTGAGCTGTCTCACCACCTTGCAGGCTTGCCCACCTCCCCCTTATACAGCTCATGTGAGCAATGGCAGAAGCAGCACACATCAATCCAGTGCCAGCAAGCTCAGTTGGCAGGCGGCCAGGAAGCTGGCCGCAGGTGGTGTGCCCAGCGCTGCAGCATACAGTGAGGAGCCAGCTGCGGCTGCCAAATTGCCCGCAGCAAGCAAAGAGGGGCCGTGGTCTGCCAAAGTGCCCGCGCCAAGCAAAGAGAGGCCAGACGCTGCCAGAGTGCCAGGGCTAGGCGCAGCATTGGCCGCCAGCGCAGCGTCCACGGCGTGCTGTTGGCGTGCACGCACTTTGCAAGACCCAGCGCGGGTGATGTCAAGCTCCACGCCCTTGGCATTGGGCATGCCGCCAGGGGCTGTCATGATGACACTGGCAACCTGCCCGTTTTTCTTCATCTTCAGCACCACGTGCAGGCAGACAGATACACTGCTGTCCAGGCCCTAGGAGGGCAGCACAGGCACGCCAGCTGTCTTGACGTTGGTCAGCTTGATACTGGTCAGCTGCATGCCGCTGTAGCTGAGCCGGTAGTTCTTGAACAACAATGTCTTAGGGGCTGGCCCATTGACGGTCAGCGTGCCAACACAGCTGGGGCCAAGCAGAGCGCGGCACTCTGTCAGCAGAAGGCTGGCCTTGGTGCGCACCTTCTTCTTGGCCTACCCAACACTGCCTGCCTGCCCAGGGCCAGCGTGCCAGCAGGCAATGTTGGCCGCACTGTTGGGGCGCCCGCCCACCCAGCCTCCAGCGGCGTAGGCCTCAGCACTGAAGCTGCCGCCCTCAATGGGTGTGATGGCATTAGAGGCCAAGAGGCCAGCAATGAGGGACACTGGCAGGCTGCTGCAGTGCTTGGTGCCCTTGTAGGCGTACAGCAGCATGTGCAGCAGTGCCTCAAAGAAGCCGGGCAGGAGAACACTGTCTGTAAGACAGAGACACGCAAGAAGTGTGCCGTGCTGGTGCAGCATGGAGCGGAGCACAGGCAGCCTGCTGCGCCCCTGCTCCTTCTTGGCGTAGAGGCATTTAGAGTGCACGCCACTGTTGTAGTGCTGCAGGATGTTGCCCACACGCCAGTGGTTTGTTGCATGATGCCTGCCTTGGCCTGCCCAACCCCAACATACACAGCAGCAGTGCCTGTGTTGCGGTAGAAGGCAACATCAAAGTAGCAGTTGGGCACTAGACCTGCCTGACTGCGCTTGGGCAGGGGCGCAGCGGGAGCACACCAGCAGGGGTGGCACATGGGCGGGCATGGGTCAACTCACTTGTGCTTGCCCTGCCAGGCCAGCAGAGTTGTGTGTCTGTGCAGGTGAGGCTGGAGGAGAGGCAGGCCCAAGTGCTGCTGCTTGAGGGTCTTGCAGTGGTAGAGGGCTTTATAGTGATCTCCCTCACGGAAGTGCTCGAGGATCACCATCAGGTTTCAGTGGTTCTTGGCCTGCACAATGCCCCGCTTGCTGCCTGACCAGTGAGATGGAGTCAGCATTGTTGAGGCAAGCAAGCAGGTGGCCAGTGTGTGGTGCCCCCCCCCCCTGTCCCGCGTCTTGCCCGTGCGGCGTGCCAAGCAACCACCAACGTCTTCCTGTACCTCTCTCTGCCGCACCAGACTCACCCTGAGAGCAGGTCCTTCATCAGGTCCCGCATGCCGCAGAGGGAGGGTATACCCGTGTCCCAGCCCTCCTTGGTGAAGCGCATGGCCGGAGGCTTCAGGGTGGCAAAGACGTCCTTGGGATTGGCCCACATGGCAATATCTCTGATGTTCCAGCAGGCCTTCTTGCGGCCAACCATGGTTGTTGCGTCAAGGACGCTGCGCATGGCCGCAGCCACATGGCCAACAGTGAGGCAGATCATGGGCGCAACTTAGGCAAGGCGCAGCACAAATCTCCTGTGTTGCCGGCAACGCAGACGTTCTGCCTGGCGCAAATCTCCCGCGTTGCCGGCAATTCAGATGCAGAGCTGCAACTTTGCGGCGCGGCGCAAGAGGAGGAGGTAAGGCGCGCAAGGAGAGCCCGGCGCGTAAGGAGAGGCCAATGCGCAAAGAGAGGCCGGCGCGCAAGAAGTGGCAACCTTGTGTGGTGCCCAGAGCAGGGCCAGGCACTGGATTGGTCTCCTTCAGCCCGTTGCTGGAATGGGTTTGCGGCAGTTGAAGGAGAAGCCAAGGGATGCAAAGAAGTTTGTTTGTGGGCGGGTGAACTGAGCTGCCGCCGCTCTGGTCCAGTCCGTGGGCAATCCAATGATGTGCGCTGTGGTGGAGTTGTTGAGCATTGCGGAGGAAGTGGCATTGTAGAGCTTGCGCGCACGTTGGTAGCTGTTGACGTTGCCAGGGCAAGAGAGGAATATGGAGGAGTTGTCAGCGTACAAGCAGGCGGTCACAGTGCGGAGGGCCGCGAAGCACAGCGTTGGGGTTTGCACGCCAACGTCAAGTTCTTCAAGCGCGGAGATGAATGGCTGATAGGCGATGTTGTAGAGCAGGCATGAGGAGGGGAGTCCCTGCAGTACGCCTTGGCGCAGAGGGATGATCTCCAAGGCGCCGGAGTTGGTGTGATATTGGGTGGTGGCGTTGGCGTAGACGGAGCGCACAAAGCGGATGGACTTGGGCGCAAATTGTACGTGGCGCATGATGTCACACAGCCAAGTGCGGCTCATGCAGTTGTATGCCTTGGCCTGGTCCTGGTTGACAAGCACAAATGGCGCGCCGCCCGTGCTCTTGTGCCTGAAGCAGGCGCCGCACACGGCCGCGCAGAGCCGCAGGATGCAAGGCAAGGCAGCAGCGCTCTCTGCGCATGCCAGCGGCGGCGGTGCTCTCTGCGCGTGCCGGCGGTGGCTGCGCTCTGCTGCGCGCAGCTGCAAGGCAAGGCAGCGGCGCTCTGGAACATTCTGCGCAGCAGAGCACCGCAACCAACTTTGCCCAACGCACGTGCCAGCGGCAGGCAGCAAGCAGCACATTGAGGGCCGTGTATGCTGCGCTGGGGGCAGCAGTGCAGCAGGCACACACACAGCACCCCCCACCCCAGCTGCCGCCTGCCCCCTCACACGCCCATACAGCTCATGTCCATTATGGCAGAAGCCCCCTGCATCAACCCCATCCCGGCTAGCTCAGTCGGTAGAGCGACAGACTCTTAAGAAGTCTAGGACGACAGTCCATCTGTAGGTCGAGGGTTCGAGCCCCTCGTTGGGAGATTTCTTTTTGCTTTTTGCCACCTCGGCCTCCCCAGCCCTCTGGCATCGCTTTTGCTCGCCCCAAACGGTCACGGGCGGGCTTGTGGGCTTATTGCACACTTTTGCCACCCCCTCAGGTTCCTGTGTATGGTCTGCGCATCATCTGGAGCGGCGGCGGCCTCTGTGCGTGCTCCTCTTCAAGGCGCGCCCCGTGCGCGCTCCCGCGCCGCGCCCATCGGCCCTCGTCGCAAGACTGGCTGCAGACAAGCAGCGCTGCCCGCATACCTGTGATTTTATCGCTTCTGACCCACCAGCCTGTGGCAGTGGAGACCGCGCGACGGAGCCGTGGCGCTTGCCCGGCGAACGCGCATGAGCGCAACACGACGACGCGCGGTGCCACGCCGCCTGGCGCAAGGTCGACTCGGGCTCGCATCTCTTCGGCGGTCGCAGCGCCCGCATCTTTTCCCCGTCTTGTTGACGACAGCTCTTCCATTGGGCGCTTCTGTCTTGCAGATCAGATCTCACGCTATCCTCGGCCCATCGCAGCATCAACGCTCAGGCGGCGCTGGCCTGCTCGCGCCCCTGCTGCCTGCTCGCACCCGGGCCTCCGCTCGGGTCTATCACTCGGACCGCATGCGTGACCTCGCAATGCACACCCCTTTCTCGGAGCTTACCCAAACACTTCTTTCCTCGCTCCCTGTCGCAGGGTACTCGGTCGCTGAACGAGGGGCCCGAACTCTCGACTGGGTCCGACGCGGAAAATGTCGAGGGTTCGGGCCCCTCGTTGCCCAACCCTTGTTGCCCGACGACGCAGCTCAGCACTATCCAGCGAGGGCCACCTCGCACTCGGCTCGCTCCGCTCTGCCCGGCATCACCTCGTCGTCTCATGCATCAGCTCTATTGCGAAGGGGTATGAAGAATAACAAAGCCGGGGGTTCCTGCCACATCACGGCGCATCACGCAGCCTCTGTGCCGTCGGCGTGGCCGGAGAGCACCTTGCCGAGGAGCCGATCAAAGGCCTGGAGGAGTGCAGAGCGTCAGTCGATGCACTCAGTTACAGACGGGGCATGGCTGCGCCATCGCCTGGCCGATTCTACTGCAGCAGTGCGCGGGCCGCATCGCATGGCAAGGACAGCGTCGTCGCGACGCAACCTCCTCCACTCCGTCCTCCGCGCTCACGCTGCACTCACCTTCGGGTTGTCCAGGTACACGTGGTGTCCGGCATGCGGCACCGCAAAGCAGCTCGTAGCGCGGTTGCCTGCCGCGACGAGGCGGCGCACGGCCTCTTTGCCGCCCTCGATGTCCTGCAGCCGGGCGGGTCAGCATTCGCACCTGCGACGTCTGCTACTCTCCGCCTCACCATCCAGTCGATGCCCGTGGCGCCATAGATGAACGACACGGGCATGCGCAGCGGCGCCATGCGCTCGACCATCGGCATGCGCGCATACGCGCCCGGCGCGAGAATATGCGCCAGGCAGTGCTCGCTCGAGGCCTTGGACATGAAGATGCCCTGTGTGTAGGCATGCAGCGAGCTGCGCGGCAGACGGCGTCAGCAGGGAGCCGCGGTGGAGAGCACGGCATACTCACCGGAGATTCTCGTCGTCGAGCAAGCCGAAGCGGCGCGAGGTGTAGCGGCCCGCCAGCATCGGTCCAAAGAAGAGCGAGTTGCGCAGCAGCGAGAACTGCAGGCGAGAGAGGCATGGGCAAGGGGATCGCGCACAGGTTGCTTGCCAGCGACTCACCGGCGAGATGTTCTGCTCCCACAGCCAGCCAAACACCGAGCCTGCGCAACGTTCCAGCGTGAGCACAGCGATGTGCATCGCATCGCCCTATCCAACGCTCATGCCTCGACGTCGCAACTCACGAGTCCGCTTGCCGAAGCGCGGCGGCGGCGCATTGTTCTTCCTCGAGCCCTGCTGCACCTCCTCCTCCTTGCCCTCGGCCTGCGCCGCCATCTGCCGCGCGTCCCTCTCCATCGTCGTCTCGCCCGCCGTGATGCTGCTCTGCGGCTGCAGCACCTCGGCGTCCACCGGCCCGCCCGACTGCGAGTCGGTGCGCCGTCGCTTCGAGGCGTCAAAGGGAGACTCCTCCGGGCGCTCTTCGGGCGCGCAGGGGATGCCTACGGGCGAGACGAGGACGAGACGAGACACGCGGTCGGGATGCGCTAGCGAGTAGGCTGAGAAGTTGTCAGGGCCACGCTGTGGTGCAGTGGGGTGAGGCGGGCTCACCGATCGAGAGGTAGCCGCCGAGGCTGTCACAGCGCGTCAGCATCGCAGCGCACAGGCGACGCAGCTTCGCACTCACGAGTGACCGACGAGCGTCATCTTCTCCACTCCCATCGTACTGCACAAGACGACCGTCAGCTCCGCTCGCACCAGCTTCTCCTGCCTCACTCACCGACGCCAGTCCTCCAGCGCCTCCACAAAGAAGCTCTCTGCCGCCTTGACGCGCCCCTCCGTCGTCTTGGCCGCGCTGGCGGGAATTGAGAAGGGCACGCGTGCGGAGCGGCCCATGCCCAGCCAGTCGAGCGCGTAGAGCCGCGAGTTGGGCCGTGCGCCGAGGGCGCTGATGTTCTGGAAGAAGAAGCCGGTGCCTTGTGAGGGAGTCAGCAATGCGGTGGCGCGAGGAGCGGAGAACGCAGCAGGAAGGCGAGAGCAACGACCGGTATCTACCCTCCAGGCTCTGCGCCCTCATGCGCAGCCGCAGCCATCTCCGCACTTCCACAGCTCGCTTTTGCTCAGCCTTTGCACTTCATCCCGCCCCCCGCCGCCGTCCCACCTCGCTTCGCTCGGCACTCACCAGCGCCATAGCCGTGCAGCATGACCACCTTCTCCTCTGCCGCACTCTCCTCGGGCGTTCCAATCTCGAGCATGTGCACGAGCCGCGGCTGGGCCCGCGGCGCAAACCAGCCCGTCGCCGTCTGCGCCGCCGGGCCAATGTCGACGGCCCGCAGCGCGCCCACTTTCCCATCGCTCGCCCGGCTGCGCGCCACGCTCGCGCGTCCCGCCACGCCGGGCGGGTCGATGTCCTCGGGCGCGCCGTCGGGACTGCTGGCGATCGCAAAGGCCCTGGCGAGCGGCGCATTCGGTGCATTGCCGAGCGTGGCGCCGGCGAAGTAGGGCGAGGCGCGCGCGTAGAGATGCAGCTCAGCGGCGGCCGTGTCGCGCGTGGCGCCGTGCAGCCAGCTGTTGAACGAGGCGCGGTACGTCGTGGGGATGGCGGGTGCGCTGAAGCTCGGCGCAGAGGCACCGGCTGCGGCGGGTGCGGCGGCGGCTGAGGCGGCCATGGCGAGCGAGGGCAGCGCGGCGAGACGGGCACGGGCGAGGGTGAGGAGCGAGGAGCGCAGGGACATGCGCGGGCGGCCGGGTCGCGAGCGGCAGGAGTGACGCGAGGCGGCAGGCGACGTGCGGTCAGAGCGAAGTGAGGTGGTGCAGAGGAGCGGTGCGAGGGAGATGGTGGCTTAAGAGCAACTCGCCACGCTGACGCTGCTGATGAGGCGCCGCCGCGGAGAGCTCGAGGCTCTCGCTTGCAGCTGCGCGCGCAGCATCATCATCACCGGGCCGCGGGGGCGGACCTTCGGACCCGCGGGATGCGCGGCAGGCAGGCCGACTCCGGCTCCGGCGTTGGCAGCGCGGCGCAAGCACACGCCGCTGATCGGCGGAGCAGCGCCCGAGGCCACGCAGCGTCAGCAAAGGGGCTGCTGAGCGCAGCAGCGCGTCAGGGGCGGCACAGGGGCGGCATGCAGAGTAAGCGGTGGCTTGCTTGCGGCCGAGAGGCGCGTGCCGGCGGCTGGGGGTGACGGTGGCTGTGCCTGACTGCGACGCTGCGCAGATGATGTGGAGGGCGCAGCAGGCGTGGGAGCAGCCGCGTCGTCGTCGGCGAGCGCGCGCAACAGAACGCCTCCGGGCTCGTCTCGCACGCCGGGCCAGCACACACACACGCTTCATGTGTGGGCTCCACACGGCCGCGCATCGCTGCATTGCCGGCGCAAAGGGGTATACAAGGATCAGCGGCGCGCCGTGTGGAAGCTGTCGAGCGCGCGCCTGGGCAGGGGGAGAGATCAGCAAGAGACGACGCGGACGCTCGGCGGCGGCCACTCACATCCACGCGTCCAGCTCGCGCTCCGTCGGCGCCTGCAGGAAGTACGAGTTGGCGGCCGTGTACAGGCCAAAGACGTGCGGGCGCTGTGGGAGAGGAGCGTCAGCGGTGCGGTGGCGGTGAGAGCCTTGCCTGGCGCCTCGACAGGGATCGGCGCCTCGACGGGGACGGCGCCCGCCAGCGGCCTTCCATCTTGCCCTGCCTCTGCCGGACGTGACCTCCGACTCACCTGCAGCATCTGCTCGATGTGCACGTCATGCTCGACGCGCACGGCACCCAGATGCATCGCCATCAGCTCGTCGAGCTCCGCACTCGACTCGTACACGTAGAGGTATGGGCTGCGCATCGCATCGTCAGTCTCGCCGCGGCAGGACACATCTCTCGGCTGCACTCACCGCCGCAGCACGAACCAGCGGCGCACCCAGCGCTCCGAGTGCGGCTCGGCCGGCATGGCGAGCCAGCCGCGCTTGGCCGCCGCATCGCTGCGCGGCACGAGGCTCACCTCGGCCGTCAGCTTCTCGGGCGGCGGCGGCGCCGGGAGCGCCACGTTGCCCGGCTGCGGCGAACGCGGCATGGCGGGAGAGGCGAGGCCGGAGGAAAGGCCGGAGCCGTTTGTGTCGCTGCTGGTGTCGACCTCGGTGCCGGTGTCCTGCGCGAGCACAGACTGCGGCGAAAGCATGTCAGCCGCCGCACCTCCGAGCTGCACACTGCCAAGACTCACGAGACGCGCCTCGCGGCAAGCGGCCGTCCAGCAAGCCACGCTGCGTCTCAGCAGCTCCGTCGCATCGCGCTCGCCGTCCGTCGGCGCGCTGGAGAGGGCCAGCGGCGGACGAGCGGCAAGCAGTGCACGCACGCCTTCGACTTCGGCGCGACGACGCTCGCGGCGCATCAACGCGGTGTGCTCGAGGACAAGGCTGACGCCCCGCGGGCGCCAAGCACCGTGCAGCGCCTCCTCGCCGCGCACGTACTTGGCCGCCGTGTCGAGGCGCCAGAGCTCGCGCGTGCGCCTTGCCGGCGGCGGGACGAGGCGCACCGCAAAGAGTGCACTCGTCTTGCTGAGCACGCGCGCGCCCGTCGCCGCGGCGCTGACCATGCTCAGCAGGCGCCCTTGCGGCTTGGCATCGCGCCCGCCAATGCTCACGGCGACGTCCATGCTGAACTCCGCCGGCGCGGCGCACGACTCGACGTCAACCGTGAACGCCAGGCGCAGCAGCACGCGCTGTCCGCTGGGCGTCGGCCGGTTGAGGAAGAGCGAGTCGTGCACGCCGCTGTCCCACCATGCCCACACGCGCAGCTCGCTCGTGCCGTTGGGCCGGAACTCGACGGTCTGCTGCTTGAGTGGCACCTGCAACGAGACGGGCTCGCCGAGCGTCGAGACGTGCACGCGGCCCTTGGCGTCGAGCAGTCGGACCTGGCTCAGCTCGACTGACGTCACGCGCGTCCAGGCAAATTGCCGCCCCGAATCGGACGCCAGCGTCAGGACGAGCTTGCGCTGCACGCCCTGCCGCAGGTGGAAGGCGCCCGGGTCGAGGGCAGACTGGGCGCGCACCTGAACTGCCTCGTACTCGCCGCGGTCGTCGAGCTCGCAGAGCTGCACAAACGCCAGCACGTCGTGGCGCTGCTCACTGACCATCTCCGTCTCGGCGAGGCGCCCGGCTGCTGGCGACTTGTGGGAGAGCTGGCCTGCCGCGGCGTCTGGTGCACGTCCGATGGGTCGCTTCGCCTCCTTTGCCGCATCGTGCGCCTCGAGCGTTTGCAGGTAGGCCTCCGTGACGCGCGCGTGAAACTCAATTGGCGCCACGCCGCTGCGCAGATGTTCGGCAATCGCGGGCGTCAGGAGGAAGCTGAGCGTGCGCCGCAGCTTGACCGCTTCGTTCGCTGCCAGATCGGCGGGCACCGAGGCGTACACCTCGTCGGCCTCGAGTGTTGGCCCCGCCACGGCACTGAGGCGCAGCTGCACGTGCACGCGCGAAAAGTGCTCTGCTCGCAGCCCCTCCACAGCGTCGACCGTGACCTGGAGGCCGAACTTGTGCCCGGCCGGCAGCTCGCCGTCGCTAGCGAACACCGGCGATGCGGAGCCATTCGACCCATTGGCCCGCTTGCTCGGGCTCGCCGAGAGGCTGACAAACTTGACCTCGACGCTGCAGGTGCCCAGCTCGACGCCTGTGTGGCGCGCGACGATGGGCACGCGGAACTTGCTCGAGACGCGGCGTGCGAGGGGACACAGCGGCACGAGGGCACAGGCGACGAAGCTGTATGCCGGCGCCGGCACCTCGTAGAACGGATCGGCCCAGTTGAAGTGCTGCGAGTACTCGGGCCGGTCGATGAAGCTGTACAGGTTGCGCATCTTGGCCAGGCGCGCCTCGAGCTTCGGCAGCGACCAGACGTACGTGGCGGCATGTAGGTGGTCGGCGACGCGTACGGCGATGCACGGTTTGGGCGCGTTCGCCAGCGCCGGGTCGGCCACGTCGTCGACTTCGTCAAGCCCGGCAATCGCCTCGATGCTCGACGACGGATGCCCCAGCGGCGCCGCATCGACGACGCAGAACTGCAGCGACGTCTGCTTGCCCAGCTCGCGGCTGATCACGTTGGCCTCCTTGAGCAGCACGGCGTTTGCCAGCACGTCCTCGGCCATCGACACCTTGGTGCGCCCGCGCCACTTGATCAGCACGCGCGCCAGCAGCTCGCGCTGCTCGGGCGTGTACACGACAGGCGCGTCGGGATCAGCGGCGGTCAGGCGCGACAGCTGCTCCTCGTACTCCTTGACCTTGAGGCGCAGCATGCGCTCCTGCGTCTGGCCGTCGACGGTGACGTCTGGATCCGGCGTGGCGGGCGCCGACGGCTCGCGGGCGCGCGAGCCCCACTCGCTTCCGGCGCCGCCGTGGCTCCACGGGTCGATGCTCGTGTCGTCGGTGTACGTGCTGAGCGAGTAGGGATGCACGCGCGAGCTGGCCGCCGACTCGCTCATGCCGTCGTCGATCGAGCTCAGGCGGCTGTCGGGACGCAGCAGGTTGCTTCCCGCCCGCTTGCTTCGCGCGCGCGAGATGTCCTCGAAGAGCTTGTCCAGCTCCTGCGGCTCAAGGTTGTCAAACGCCGCGTCGTGACCCTTGAGCCGCGCGAGTGCCGCCTCGCGCCGCGCGTACGTCCAGTCGACGTCGCCGCCGTCGTCGGCATTGGACATGGGCGAGTCGGGCCGCGTGCCGCCGGGCGAGCCCGTCGTCGTCTCGTTGAGCTCCTCGCCGGTGGAGAGGGCGAGCGTCGACTTGACGCGCTCGCGGGCGCGCCGCACCTCTTCCGGGTGGTTGAAGCGAAAGACGTGAAAGTCGCCCTGCGCTGCCAGGTCAGCGCCGCTCAGCACATTGCACCTCTGCGCCTCACCAGGATCACGCGGTAGCCGCTGCGCAGCCGTCGCGGCTCGTCGGGCGCGACACGCTTGCCATTGACCATCGTCATGCCGCCGCCGCTGTTGAGGATGAGCACGGTGCCGTCGGGCGTGAAGTCGAACTGGCAATGTTGCGGCTGCGGCGAAGGAGGGATCAGCACAGCTGCGGCGGTCCACTCTCCACTACGCACCAGAATGTTGCTGCCGCTGAGACGGATCGCCGGGCCGTCGCCTTCGTGCTCGCTCTCCGAGTTGCCGACGGTGGTGATGCCGTGCCGCAGCTGGTAGACGAGACACTCGGACATGAGCGGGTCTTCGTTGAGGTTGACCAGATGTGGCAGCTGCGTGCGCGATGTGTGCGTCAGCTCTGCAACCCCCCCCCCCCCTCCTCCTCGTCTAACTGTGCACGCACCTTCTTTGGCGTGTGCACGCCGACGTTGCCCTTCTCCACGCTGATGCCGAGCTCCTCGAGCGCCCGCTCGCGCTCGACCTGGATCTCCTGCGTCTTGCGCAGCTTGTCCTCCCACGTCTCGTTGACCGAGGCCATGAGCTTCTCGGCGCTCTCCATCTGCTCCTGCAGCTCGGCCTTGGTGACGGTCTTGATCTCGCCGGACTTGGTCTGTGCAAGGCGTCAGTCTGCGGTGCCCAGCTGCGGCACTGCGCCACACTCACCTTGTACCGCACGATCTGCTTCTCTGGCGGCGCCGTGGGGTCCCACGTCGACTCGCCCTCGTCGCCGCCGCCCCCGCCGACAGCCGCGCGCGCTCGCAGCATCTCAAGCTCCTCCTTGAGCTCGCGGATGAGCTTGGCGTTGGGGTCCTGCGCTGGGGCATGAGCAGGGTGCGCGCAGACAGCCCGCGCACGGCACACACCTCATTGACGACGGCCTTGTTCTTGATCTTCTTCGCCGAGTCGGCGTAGCGCAGCGTCTGTGGAGGAGCTCAGCCGGCGCTCGGGCCATGCACGACGCTCTACTCACACTGAGGGTCTCGTCGTAGTCGGCGGGCGAGATGGCTGCGTCCGAGATTCAGCACCTGCCGCGCTTCGGCCCTTCGCTGCACTCACCCGCAATCATGGCCGTCTTGCTATTCCCGCCCAGCGAGTCCTTCAGCAGCCACGTCAGCACCGAGTCTCGGTACGGCACAAAGTTCTCCAGCGCCGTCTTCTTCTTGGCGCCGCGTGCCGGCTCGGCGCTGGCTGCTGCCAGCGCGGCAATGACTTTGCCGAGCGTCGTGAGCGAACGGTTGATGTTGGCGCCTTCCTTGAGCCGCGAGCCCGTGGCGCCGGTGCTGTTGGCGCGCTCTGAGCCCGCCAGGTCGACCAAGCTGCGGGTGTGCACGTCAGTCGCCGTGGTCCCGTCCCCCCGCTCACGATCGGCGCGCACCTGATGCGCGACACCTTCTCGGCACACAGATTCGACGCGCGGTCGAGCTTCTTCTGCGTGACGACGAGGGTAAAGACGGCGTGGGAGCGACTGCTCGTCTCGTTCATGTTCGTCGCCGCGACCGTGCGCGCCTTGTTGCCCTCGTCCATGAGGTGCTCGACGTCCGCAAAGGTCGCCACCGCCAAGCGGCTGAGGTCCTCGACGTAAGGGCCCAGACTGGGGTGCTCTCGCACCTTGAGGTTGCCCTTGTTCTTCGGATTCAGCAGATCGCGAACCTTCTCATTGTAGATCTCGATGTACGACACCTCGACGGTGATGCTCAGATCCGCGTCGGCGGCCATCTTGTCCGTCGCGTCGGTGAAGAGCTGCGAGCACGTGAGCGGTATCAAGCCCTTGGCGGCCGCATAGCCGACCATGCTGTGCGACTTGCCCGAGCCCGTCTGGCCGCTGTGAGGTGGTCAGCACAGGCTCGTGCTCAGCCTCGACACACAGACGCACTAGGCAAAGACACACTGTGGCGCAGCACGAGCATCAGCAACAGGGCAGCAGCAAGGGCGCAGAGGACTCACGGTGTTGAAGCCCTCCCAGGCATGTTTCAACACATCGAGGCCGACGTAGTCAAACAGCTCGTGCTGCTCCGTGTTCTCGTCGTAGGCACGATCAAACGAGAACGGCATGGCCTTCTTGCGCGTCGCCTTGCTGCCGCCCGCAGCATTCGTCTCGCGCGTGTCGCCCTCGCCGGGCGGGTTCAGCACCAGCTGGTGCGAGTCGCCGGTGAACTGCACGAGCGGCGAGGCGCCGCGCGCTCGTTCTGCGCCAGGCAGTGGTCAGCGACTGCGCCGCGAGGGCAGTGCATTGGGGCACGCGGCGTCCCGAGTGCGCTCAAAGCAGGTGCGACGAAGGCCCGGCCGGCCAGCGGGTTGTTCCTTTGTCTCGACGCTCTCGCGACGAACGCAGTGTCCCGCAGGCTGTCCGCTGGAGCATGCGGCCCTCCTTACTGCCTGGTATCTGCACTGCGCAAGCACGACCCCGCCGCGAGCCACTGTGCCCCTGTGCCGGCATCTTGCTCGTCGCCCCTTGCGCCGGCTCCATGCACGCCCGGCCACCCATCTGCCTCCCCTGCTCTCTCCTGCCGGCCCCGCTGCTCCGTGTGGCAATTCTGTGCGCTCACACTCACCTCGCGAGTTCATCGGCCGACATCGCACGACGACCTTGATGTTGCCCGAGTCCGCCATGATGCTCTAGGCCAGGGCGCTGGCAGCGGCGAGAGCAACACGTGGCCCGGAGCGCGCGAGCGGCGCAGGTGGCGGCCTGAGGCCGGGCGCGACGAGCAGGCCGCGAGGCGAAGCGCTCGGCCGCGTAGGCAGCACGGAGCGCCTTGGCCAGCCGAAGTTCGCCTTTGCTGAGCCTCGACGAGCAGCGGCGCGGTTGTGCTCGAGCGGCGGAACGGGTCTGAGCCCGACAAGCGCGGCAGGTCTCTTGGCCGGTCTATCGGGCTGTAGTGCCGGGCGCGCGTGATGCAGTCTATGAGGAGAAGCCAGAGAGGGGTATGCTGGAGCGTGACAGAGGCGTGAGTGGTGGTCGCGAGCGAAGCAGCGCTGCGAGCGAGCGCTGTGCTTCTTGATCGGCGAGGCTCGGCGGCGTGACAGCTGGGCGTCAGGGCCCCGGCACGGCAGCAGTCGAGTGTCCTCGCCCAGCGCACGAGCACACGCGCACCGCCGCCGCGCTGCGCGCCCCACGCCTTGCGGTGAGGAAAGCGCGCGGCGTGAGAACAGTGATGGGCGACGGGTGTGGTGCGTGTGATGAGGAGCTTGCGGGCGCCCAAGGGGGACGGTGAGGATGGAGACAGCGCTGGAAGGGTGGTCAGAAGGATGTGAGTAGGCCTGTGGGGGCGCTGAGGACCCAAGAGAGATCTGAGCCGCGGGGCAAAGAGCACGGGCATCAGCACCAAACTGCGCTCAGAGCGCGCCCAACAAAGCTGAGCAGCTCTTTGGCGTCCCGCGACCAGACGCACACTCTGCTGGGCCCCGCCGATTTCTGTGTTCCATAGACCAATCCGGACCGCTCCCGTCTACATTTCGCGAACAAAAGCTTGTCCTCGAGGGCAGCGTGAGGCAAGACACACGGCTTCAAGGCTCGAGCAGGAAGACCAACACCTGCCGCACGGGAGCGGAGCCAGACGGCGTGGGAGCTGTTCCCGCGCGGCGCGCGTCATGGCGCCGGAAGCGGAGCCGCAGCGGGCGCCAGCGAGCGAGTTGGCGTCTCTTCGCCTCCTTCGCCTCGCCCTCGACGCTTGTGCATCCTCGCATCCACCTTAGCTTCTATCGTCTCGCCCATCTGCCTGCTCCGACATGTCACGACGACCCGGCGCCGACCGGCACGCGCTGCTCGGCGCGTCCGCCTATCCGCGTTCTCACGCGTCTGCACCACGCGGGCCATCGCCGTACGAGCAGCCGTATGCCTCCTCCTCCTCCTCGTCGCATCCCTACTCCTCTGGAATCGGTGGCGGGCCAGGCGGCGCAGAAGAGGACATGTATGCCGAGTACGGCGCGCCGAAGAAAGAGTATGCGCCGCCGCTGGGCCGCTGGACCGCAGCTGAGCGCACGGCGCTCGATCTGGAGGAGCAGAACGAGGCGCACATTGAGGGCCTGGCGGGCAAGGTGCGGCTGCTCAAGGAGGTGCGTCGAGACCTGCAGTGAGCGAGTGGCAAAATGCAGTGCTGACGACCGTCCAGATCACGCTGGGCATCGGGCAAGAAGTGCGAGACGGCACGGCGGAAATGTCGACCCTGGTGCGTCCCTTCGCCCCTGCCCTCTCTCGCGCAGTGGCTGACGACGAGCGCAGTCCGAGGCGTTCAGCACCACCTCGGCCTATCTAGGCGGCACCTTTCGGCGCATGAACACCATGGCCAAGCGCCAGCGAGGGTGGGGCTGCAACATGCTGCTCTTCGTGCTCTTCGTGGGCTGGATCTTTGTGCGTGTCCGCTTCCGCTCCTCGAGCGCGAGGAGATGAGCTGCGCCGCTTGTTCATGCCGACCGCTGACCTGTCACTTGCCGCTGCAGGTCTTTCTGTGGTGGTGGCGACGCTAATACCCATGCTGCATGCTTCGATGCTGGTCATTGCGAGGCGCAAAGGGAGCGTGGGTTGGGTGACGCATGGGACAGTGGCACAGGTATGTGATGGCGAGGATGGACACGGCAGGCGAGTGAAGCGAGGTGGAATGCTGGATCACGCACGGCGGCGGCTGCCGGCGCGCTGCACGGCCTGCGTGCCGCTGGCCGGCTCATCAGCGCCAGCCGCGTCGTTCGTAGCGACATCGCTGTCGGTGCTCGTCAGCGACGACGTGTCAGCGGCCTCGATGACCTGCGACGGCTCATCGCCTTCGTCGTCGCCGCGCAGCGTAGCGTCGGGGTCGCGCACGTGCAGCTCGGCAGACGTGCGCGAGCGCAAGAGGTACGACGCAGACGCCGAGGAGCCCGACTCTTCCTGCGCCAGATAGGCAGACGCAGAACTGACGCCGCGGCGCGAGTACTGCACGGGTCGAGGTGATCAGCGCTGCGCTGCCGAAGGCACACGCGCGACGCACCGTGCGCGAGGGCGTGGAATGCGCCGAGACGGCGGATGCGGCTGCAAGCACGGCTGTCAGCTGTCGTCGCCATCGGACACGTCTGCCGGCGAGCTCACTGCTCAACTTGATCGTGCCGCTGCGGCGCGCCGACGCCGTCAGAGGCGGCAGCAGAGACTTCTGCAAGTGCAAGGTCAGCGCTGCACCAGTGCGCCCTCGAGCATGGCACGCACCGCCGAGCGCTGCGTGGCGCCGGCCAGCGGACTCGCTTCGCCCACATCCGCCAGCTGGCTCTGCTCGCCAGCGTCAGCAACTCGTGCGGCTGGCTGTGGCGCGCGGGGCACACACCTGCAGCGTCTCGTCGAGCGGGTCGGAGGACAGAGGCAGGCGGCGGCGCTGCTGGTCCGGCGGCAGATTACGCTGGCTGGCGCGCTGCTTCTTGTCCAAGTCCTGCTGCAGCTGATGGAGGCGCGAGAGGCGTCAGCGGCGGCGAGGGATGCGCATCATCGAGCAGCGCGCACGCGGCTCAGCTTCTCCTCGATGACTTTGCGGTCGCCGTGCAGCTGCGAGGGCGTCAACACACGCAGACAGCAAGAGTTGCTCTCCTCGCCGCACCTTCTTGATCTCGTTGTCCTTCTTCGCCTGCTCCCTCGTGAAGCCCTCCATGATCTGACTCTGCGCCAGGGACATCAGCGGTCGTCTGAGGATCCAGCGGCGAGAGCCGCTCTCACCTTGTGCATGCGCAAGAGGGCGAACTCCTGCTTCGTCTGGGTAGGTCTGCATCAGCCTATGGTCATCACGCCCGGTCGCTCTCCACGCACCATGTTACTGTCGGCGAAGCGCTCCAGCATCGTGCCTTCGCGCTCGATGGCGGCGGCGCCGAGACGGAGCTCCTCGTCGCGCTCCTCGCTGCGCAGCCGCAGCTCGCTCAGCGTGCGCTCGTGCTCCTTCTCGACGCGCTTGCGCTCCACCTCGGCCTCGTCATTGTGCTCCGTCCAGTTGGCCTCGCGCTGGCGAGCATCTTCGAGGGTGAGCTCGAGGCCTTCCTTCAGCTTCGTCACTGCCGAAGGACGGTCAGCAATGGCTCTGCCCATCCGGCAATGATCTGACCCACTTTCGAGGTCCAGCTCCCTATTTGTAGCCGCCACCTCGTTGCTCTTCTCGGACAGGTCCGCAAGCTTGGCCGCCATCGCCTGGCACTCCGCCTCCGCCTTACGAGCCTTCTCGGCCGCCTCGGTCGCCTGCGCCTGCATGCTCTCGCCGTGCGCCTGAGCCTTCTCCAACGCCAGCTGCAGCTCGCGCAGCTTGTTCTCCGCCTTGGCTTCGCGCTCACGCAGCGCCTCGAGCTGGCGGCCGCCGTCGGTGCTCGAGTCTCGAAGGCCGGCACACTGCTTCTGCACGTCCTCGAGCGCCTGGCGTGTGGTGTCGAGCTCGTGGCGTAGCGCGCGGCGCTGCTCTTCGCCGAGACGCTGGTCGTTGCGCAGCTCCGTCACCTGTGCCGTCTCCCTGTCGAGTGCCTGGCGCAGACGCTGCCATCGAGTGGTGAGTGGCGGCACGGCGCAGACAGCCTGTATGCTCACCGTCGTCGCGTTCTCATCGGCGTTCACCTGGTCCAGCGCGGCCTTGGCGCGCTTCAGCTCTGCGTCAAACTCCTGTGAAGATGCTGTGAGCCAGGCAATTACTCAAGCGACGACGTGCACGCACATTGATCTTTGCCAGACGCTCCTTTGCGATGGTATCGGTGCTCGAGAGTCTGTTCGCAGGGTCAGCGGACACACTTTGCGCAGGCCTCACACGACGCACCCGAGCTGCGTCAGCCTGAGATTCTCAGCGAGCCCTGTCTTGTCGGCCTCGAGAGCCACCACAGCCTTCTCGAGCGACTCCTTGGCGGCGGTCAGCTGCGCCACCTGCTCCTCGAGCGTCGCCTTCTCGAGACGAGCACGCTCGACGGCGCCCTGAGACTCGCGCAGGGCGCCCTGCGCGGCCGAGAGACTGGGACGCTAAAGTCAGCGCGCGATGAATGACAAGAGGGACTGCTCCTCACCTCTCGCGGATGGCCTCTTCCTTCTTGCGCAGCGTCTCGAGCACGTCGGCCTGCTTGTCCTCCTTCTTGCGCAGCGTCGTAATGTCTTCCTCGAGGCGCTTGGCGCGTGCGAGTGCCTCCGTGATGCTGCAGCAAGGCGTGAGAGAGCGTCGGACGGTATGGTGGCGGGCCAGCGGCCCACCTGCGCTCCTTCTCGGTCGTGAGACACTCGAGCGCCTCGACCTGTCCGTCGAGGGCCTTGGCACGCTCCTCCAGGCGCGCAATGAAGCGCTCCGCCTGGATCAGCGTGTCCTTGGTGGTGGTGAGCTCGGTACGCGCGCTCGTCGTGTTGCCGCGCTCGCCGTCGAGCTCGCGTCTCAGCGCCTTGAGCTGGTCTTGGATCTGTAGGCAGGTGGTCAGCGCCGAGACGTGGCAGTGATATCATGTCCCGCACCTCGGCGCGGTCATACAGCGCCTGCGTGGCTTTTTCCTTCTCGCTGCTCATGCAGCGCTCCACTGGGGTGTGTCAGCGTAGCTCTTCCACATCGGCACGGAGAGCGCACCGTCCTCGATGCGCAGCTGCATCTGCTTGCACAGCACGACGCTCTCCGACAGCTTCTGGATCTTCTCCTTGACAGCCGGAAGAGAGTCTTTGGCTGAGCGCGGGGCATCAGCGCTGGCGTGGACAGGCCTGCTTCGGAGGCACGTACCGTTCCCCTCGCACAGGCTGCTGTAGCGCTCGCGCAGCGCCTTGAGCTCCCGCAGCTCAGACTGACACAGAGAAGGTCAGCATCGGTAGCCAAAGGAAGAATATTGCGTACCACGAGGCCAGCGTGGTTCTGCTGCTGCGCGCGAGCGCGCTCGTCGTACTGATGACGCAGGTCGTCGGCGCTGCGTGATGCGTAAGCGAGTCTGTCCGCTCGCAGCAGGGATCAGACTTGCCTGGCGATCGCCTCCTGCGCCTTCATCGCCCAGTCACGCGCGCTCTTCTTGATCTGATCGAGCTGGCCGCTGCGCTCGAAGAGGATGCCCTGCATGTCCTGCAGCTGCTGGTCCTGTGGCCGAGGTGCGTGAGCGAGACTCTCGAGACGTCATGTAGCCTGCTCACCTTCGCCTTGCACGTCGTCTCGAGCGCGGCGATGGCCTGCGCGCTGTTGTACGCAAAAGCAGCGGCATGCTGAGCGCCCGAGGTGAATCCAAAAGTCTTCTCCTCGGCAGGCGACGGCGAGCGACGCACGCCGGCCACCAGATTGAAGGCGGATGCCGAGAGACCTCCGAGGAGGCGGAAGCCAGACGGTGTCGGACTGACGGGCGACGGCGCACGCGAATCATCGTTGTTGCGGCGGTCCTGGCTGCGCTGCGGCTGCGGCGTCGAGGGCCCACTGCGAGGCTCTGACTGAGATGCATGGCGGCGCTGTGCAGGCTGCTCCAGCAGCTCGTCGTCGCCGGCACGCTTGCGCGACGGGCTCTCGGGTGCAGCACCGACGTCGAGGCCGGGTGTATGCGCGTCGAATTGCTCGCTAGCGTCCGTTGCGACATGACTGCGAGAAGGAGGGACCATTGCTCGGCTGCTCGTGGCTTGCTGCTCACCGAGAACAGGCGGGGCCTTCTGCACCGGCGCATCGGCGAGCATGCTCGGCGCGGCGCCGGCATTCTTGTTCTTGTGCGTGCCGAGGACGGAGCTGAGCGTGCGCGCCATCTTCCCGGAACTGCCCTTAATGGGCACAGGACCTCCGACTGCACGGCCCCTGTTGAAGGTCGTGGAAGCAGCGCCGGCAGCGTTGCGGCTCTGCGCCACCACGCGCGCGGCGGGCGCCTTGCGCGGCGTGGCGGTGACGGATGCGGAGGCCTGGCCGGACGGCGGCGGCAGCTGTGCGGCGCTGCGGCCTGCGCCTGCTGCGGAGAAGAGCGGAGCAGCAACAGGCGCAACTGCCTCACCGGGACGTGCAGAGTGAATGACGGGCGCGCTGGCCTTGGCGAAGGAGAAGGTGCTCGCCGCGTCGGCGACGGGCTGCTCGTCGTCGAAGGCGAAGCGCGTGGCCGCACGCTCCTTGAGCGCGTGGTCGGCGGGCGGCGGCATGGCGGCAGCTGATGGCCTTAAGGCTGAACAGCGGAGATGGTGGTGAGAGAGACGGAGCAGGCGCTGCACTGCTCGCTGCTTTGAGGCGCCCTCGCCCGATTAGCGATGCGCCGCAGCGCTGACTACGCCAGGCGGCACGCGCGCAGCACGCGCGCACTACGCGCCGCCCGCCAAGCTCGATTCACGCTTCCACGCCGCAGCCGCAGTCAGGTTGGACAGATCGCCAAGTCAGCTCACACATCAGGCATCGGTGACTTGCGTTGCATTGTGCCCAGCGCCTCACCGCGCAGCGCGGGCCGCGCGCGACGCCACGAGGAGGGCGCGCGCAAACGTGGCCAGCAGGTCGTCCTCGCTCTCCAGGCCCGTCGAGACGCGCACCAGATTGCGCTCAACGCCAAACTCGGCAGCCCACTCGAGCTCGCCGTAGTGCGCCAGGATGGCGTAGGGGCTCGCCAGGGTGAAGTTTGTGCCGAGGCTCGGACCCTTGGCCACGTCCAGCGCGTCGTAGAAGGCACTGGCCGCGGCGGCACTGCTGAAGGTGACAGAGAAGAGGCCGCCGTATCCGCCCTGCTCTGCCGACACGCCCGGCAGCAGCGCCGTGCGGCGCCGGCAGGCATCGTAGAGCTCGCGCGTCTGGAACTTGGGCTGCCGAGCCAAGGGTCAGCCTCGAAGCAAGCGGTCTGCAGCTTTAGCACACTCACATAGTACACATCGCGCACCACGCCGCGCCCGATCTCGTCGCGCAGAAAGTCGGCCAGCGTCTCGGCATTGCGGTTGATGCGGTGGACGCGCGTGGCAAAGTCGCGCGAGTTGCGCTCCATGACGCAGGCGTCGGGCCCGTAGTAGGTGTCTTCGTATTCCTCCGCCATCGCCGTGCGCAGCGCATCGATGTGCCGCGAGTGCGGATTGAGCACCAGGCTGGCGCGGCGTGGTCAGCTGCGTGACAGTGCGCGAATGCCTCATGCACTCACCTGCCGCCCATGACGTTCGTCTCGCCCGAGAAGACCTTCGTCAGACTGCTGACGACAATGTCGGCGAGCGGGAGCACCTCGACGTTGAGGAAGTTGCCAATCGTCTCGTCGACGACGAGCAGGAAGCCAAACTCGTCTGCCAGTGCGCGCAGCCGGTGCAGGTCGGGCGAGCGCAGCAAGGGATTGGAGGGGAACTCGCAGAAGAGGGCGACGGGCGCTGGCTCGCTGCTGCTGCGCAATTGCGCCTCGAGCGCCTCGACATCTGCGCCCGTGCCGTTGCCGAAGAACAGCGCGCCGGCGCCCCACTTCTGCAGGATCTTGAGCGTGTCGACGTAGGAGAAGCTGCGCGCTGTCAGCAGGGAACGCACACGACAGCTTGTGCTGCGACTCACCCAAAACTGATGCTCTTGCCCGCCTTGTCTACCTCCTCCTCCGTCAGACCAAGCTCCTGCCTCCGCCAGCGCAGCGCCGCCTGATGCGCATGGAAGATGGCGCTCATGCCCGCCGGGTACAAATACACATCATCCTCCCGCAGGCCCGTGCCCTCACGCACGGTCGGCGCCGTCTCGCCCTCTGTCACGTCGGGTGCTGCAGCGCCAGCCGTAGCGCCAGGCGCGCGGTCGGCCAGCAATGTGCCGGCGATACGACGACGCAGCGCCATCTTGGCCAGAGAGCCGAGCGAGGCATGCAGCACGCGTGCATAGCGCTCTTCGACGTACGTCTCGTGCTCGGTGCCCGCCACTGCTGCAGCACTGCTCGAGTCTGCTGCCGGCTGCGGAGTCGCCTCCTCGGCAGCCGCAGCGCTGGGAGCCGCAGCGCGCGCGTAATGCCGATTGCGCGAGCGGATTGCACTGCCGGCGGGCGTGCCGTTGGATGTCGATGGCCGAGACGGATCAGGCGTGCTGTTGGCTTCGATGCGAGCGAGCGCATCGACAGCAAAGCGACTCGAGATGCCATCGCCCGTGTGCTGCCAGAAGGCCTTTGCGAGGCTCCAGCTGGAAGTGGGAAACAGCACGACGTGCACGTCCATCGGCGCACCTGCGTTGCACGGGTTGGCGCCGGCGACGCTTGACGCGGGAATGCGGTAGGCTACGATGCGCACTGCGGGCGCTGCCAGCCCCTGCGCGCGGCTCTGCGCAATGATGAAGGAGCGACACCGCGAGGCGCAGCGGGCAGTGGGCAGCAGCAGCACGGCCTCGGCCTCGGGCGACGAGGGGTCGGCGAACTTGCTCTGCAGCAGAGCGGCGAGCTGGGTGATCGAATCGTCAGCTCCCTCCTCCTCCTTGCTCACCCATCGCCCGACTCACCGCCTGCACCTTGCGATGCACAAAGAAGCGCGGATAGCCCGTCTGCATCACATCCGTCAGGCGGCCCTCCTCGTAGTCGATGTTGTCCGCCCAGCGCGGCAGGCTGACCGACACGGCGTGAGCCGTCTGCGGCGGGATCGACGTGCCGACGGCGTAGTCCTCCTGCGCCGCCGCGGCCGCTGCCTGGCTCGCACTCGGCGCCGAGGCGGCAGCAGCGCCGGGTGCAGCAGCCTGCACAGGAGCGGCGCTAGCCACCGGCGCAGTCGCAAGGGCCGCAGCACCAGACTGCCGCGGCAGTGCGGCCTCGACAGCCGCGGCCAGCTCGCGCTCGACGGCGCTGCGATCGTTGCGCAGCTCGGCGAGGCGCTGGCGCGCCGCACGCACGGCGAGCAGGTCGATGTCGGCGCGCGGAAAGCCCTGGGCGTCGATGAGCGGTGTGCGGGCATCGACGTTGTGCGAGCGCAGCACGTCGATCTGCACGGACTGCAGGTGCGGGGTGTCAGCACGACGGCAGCTGACGATCGAGCTGCGCCACGCACGAGCTCATCATCAATGGCACTGCGCTTGGCGGCGAGCGCAGCGACGAGCTCGCGCGGCGACGGCTGCGTGCCGTTGGGCGCCGCCGCCGTCTGAGACGAGCCGGGCGTGGGCACGGGCACGGGCATGCGGGGTGATGCGAGGTGGATGATGTGGGGAAGCAAGGATGACCCGCGCAGGGTGCCGGGGCTGGAAGACTAGGGCGCAAGCCGCCGCCGAGGCACTTTGTGCCGTGGCGCCGAGTCATCGTCACGTGACGCCGGCCGGCCTTGATGTGGAGCAGCCCTCCCACTGCATGCTCTTGCTCCCTCGAGTGACGCTTTGACATTGCAGCAGCAGCAGGGAGAGAGCGGTAACGTTGCAGCACAATAGGTGACGGAGCGAGCGAGCAGACTGCAACGGGGTGACGGACAAGGAACGAGAGCAAGATGCAGCAAAGGAGAGGGAACGGGGTATGGAAGCGACGGGCCGGGGTCAGGGCACCACTGGGGAGCACGGAGAGCGTCAGTGAAAGCCTGGAGCATGTGCGGGTGTACAGCAGCATCATCACTCACCGGGCGTGACCTGGCGCTGCGCCAGCGTCGTCGCGCGGTACGTCTCGTAGGTGGCACGCGAGCGCTGGCGGAACACCTGCAGGGGGCCGAGTCAGCTCCGCCGAGGCTGACGCTTCTCGGCCGTGGGCTCACCTCGACGTGCGACTCGAGCAGCGTGCTCTTCAGCAGCATGAAATCGGAGCATTGCCTGTGCAGGGCACACGTCAGCACCAGTCGTCTGAGCAACCCGCGGCGCACTCACGGATCCCGCACGTCCGCCTCGCCCCACGCATAAGAGCGCACCCAGCGCGGCTCCAGCTCACGTTGCAGGCGCTCCGCCTCGGCTTCGCGCCGCGCTCGCTGCAGTGCTGCCGTCTCGGCGGCGCTGAGTGGACGCAGGGACGAGGAAGGTACCGAAGTGGCAGTGCCCGAAGACGAGGCCGGCGGCGCGCTATTGCCGTTGCCATTGCCGTGCCCATGCGCGCTGCCGTTGCCGTTGCCATTGCTCCGCGCTCCGGGGTCGGGAGAGGCAGTAGGGCTCAAGCCCACTGGCAGCGGCGGCACAGGCGGCACAAGTGCCGAGCTGGCGGAAGCCGAGCGACCTCCGTGCGATAGCGAGCGCGGCCGACTTGCAGAAGAAACGCTGCTGTTGCTTCCCGTACGTCTCAGCGTGGGCGCACCTGCGCGCCCGAGAGGCAGCGGCACAGAGTCGGGCGTGAAGATGCACAGCGGCAGGCTGAGCTTGGGAGGCGAAGGCGCAGGGTCGTCGGAAAAGACGTCGGCTGTTGAGGACGCGGCGGAGTAGCTGCATTGCAGTACGGCGCCGCTTGTGATGCCAGCTTGTGAACCGCTGTAGCTGCGCCGTGAGCGCAGACGGATAAGCTTGGGCCGCTCCGTCCCGCGTGCCGATGCGTCGTCGAGCTCTTCGCTCGGCTCAAGACTCTGGCCGGCCCATTCCAGGTTGATGCCTGCGCGCTGCATCGACGTGTGCACCGCAGCCAGTGCCTCTTTCCGCGCATGCTCGGAGAGCAGATCGGCGCGAGCTAGCACGGGCACGAGTGCTGCGCGCTCGGCAAGCCGCGCCATGGCGCCGAGCTCGCGCGGCGCGATGCAGAGCTCTGCATCGTCTGCGTCCTCATCATCGGCGTCGTCGTCGTCTTGCTCGTCGAAGGGCGCAGCAGGCTCGAGCACGGCCTGCGACGTGACTGGCGAGGCGCTATCTGCCAGACCGAGCAGGGCGGGCCCGTCGAATTGAAGACCTAGCGCTGCGGCCGCATCGGTCTGCTGTGTCGCCGCTGCCGCAGGTGCAGCTCGAGGGCGAGGACGGCGACGCACGAGAGAGAGGGCATCGACAAAGTAGACGATGACATCGACGACGCCGTCGGTGCCGTCTCCGCTGCGAGTCGCGGCGCGCGAACGGGCGCCTGTGCCGGCGGCGGTACGCTCCACGCGGCCCTCTTCGGCCATACGCCGCGCCATGCGGCTGTCGAGGGCATGTAGAAGCGAGCGCAGGGCACGCTCAGTTTCCCACGCCGCCGTATCGAAGCGCAGGCCGGGCGAGTCGCTGAGGTGCAAGGTCAGACGCGCGGAGCCGCCTGTGCTGCCGGACGCCGACGAGACGACCGACATGCGTCGCGCGTTCGCTTGCGCTGACCGCAAAGTCAGAGTGCCAAGCGTCTGCATCACTGCAGTGCGCAGCGGCACAGGCGGATGGACGAGGCGATTGCGATGCAGCGGACTCGGAGGCAGGCCTGGCGTGAAGAGAGCATCTGCACAGGCCATGTCAGCAGCGCGGCGGGCAAGCCAAGGGCACTGCAGCTCACCATCGACATCGACTCCATCCTCCGCGCAAGCGCGCAGCAGCGCATGCAGCCAGCTCGTCTTTCCCGTGCCGCGAGCGCCCGCGACGAGGATCTGCAGCGCTGGCGGCGCACGGATGCGCCGCAGACTCGCTGCGCGAGCGATCTCGGCAGCGCGCTTTGCCTGTGCGGGCGGCGGCGGCGGCGAAGTGGTAAAGGAAGAGGTGCGGAAGGAGCTCGGCGGTGGGCCGCTGCGCACGGGCGAAGTGTAGGGCGAGCGCACGCCGATGGGCGGCGTGGATGCGCCGCCCGTCGTGCTCATGCTGCTGCGGCCCTCGTAGCCCTCGCGCGTCCAGGGCCGGTGGAACTGCGGCACGGTGCGCGAGCGCGGCATGCTCTCGGCGTGGGCGGCATCGGCGAAGGAGGCAGTGGCCAGACTTGGCAGCGGAGGTGTCGCCACGCCAGCGGCGCCAGGTGCGATGCTGCCGAGCGCGACGTCGGGCAGCGCCAGGGCCGGCAGCGCAGGCGGTGCGGCGAGGACGGGCGTGCGCGGTGCGCCGCCCTGCGACGAGGAGCGACGGCGGAAGAGGGGCATGGCGGAGGAGCCGCACACGACTCGGCGTGGTGGTGGTGCGGAGCGAAAGGGCGAGCGAGGCGGACGCGCCGCCGCAAGCGGAAACAAGAACGGAGAGCGGGGAGCGGGAGGCGCACGGTGCGGGACTCGGCCTCGCGCGGGTTGTAGTCGCGCACTACAGGCGGCGAGCGCCGAATACAACGGCGCTCAAGCCACCGACTTTTGTCTCGCCGCGCCGCAGAGCAACGTGCGCCCCGACAGGACACCGCTCGCTGCGCCTTCCTCCTCCTCCATCACCCTCTCTTACCATGTTCCGCACCGCTCTCCGCCTCGCCGCGCCGCGCCTCAGCGTCTCCGCCCGCGTCGCTCCGCGCATCGCCCGTGCGCTGCCGGCCGTGGCGCCCGTGCGCGCCTTCAGCGTCTCGCTCGCGCGCTGCGGCTCGGGCGAGACGGACGCCGAGCTCTCGTCGCGCCTCGCGCAGGAGATCAGCTACGAGCGGCAGAACGAGTCGTCGCCCGACGCCGCGCCGCCGGCCTTCGTCTCGGACTTCCAGGCCGCCGGCATCTGGAAGATTGAGGATGTGGCCGGCTCGGACGAGATTGCCCTGACGCGCAGCTACGGCAACGAGAAGATCCGCGTGCTGTTCAGCATCGGCGACATTGACACGAGCGCGCCGGAGCACGATGAGATTGACGCAGAGGAGGCCAACCACGACGACGGCGAGCCCGACGTCGGCTTTCCGGTGCGCTGCGCCATCACCATCAGCAAGGTGAGCTAGCCCGAGGCGCCATCCACGTTGCACCTACGCTGACACCTCTGCTGCAGCCCGGACAAGGCTCCCTCACCATCGACGCCCAGGCGCACGACGGCGAGTTTGGCATTGAGAACATCAGCTTCTACAAGGACGAGAAGCTCGCGACGGAGCTGACCGCCGAGGCCGACTGGAACCGGCGGGGACTGTACATTGGCCCGCAGGTGAGTCGCGGGATGGAGTGCGGCGGTGAAGAGCAGCAGAGAGGCATGGCCGGGTAGATAGCGGCGGCGATTGAAGGCGAGCGGTCAAACTGCTGTGCTGCGCTCAACGCCAGACGATCATGCGATACGACGCCGCTCGAGCCCCCTCTGCCTCTCGCCGCACCGCTTACGCCTCTTGTCTGCAGTTCGAGACGCTCGACGAGTCGGTGCAGGCGCAGTTCGAGGCCTTCCTGACGGAGCGCGGCATCGACTCGGACCTGGCGCGCTTCGTGCCGGACTTTGCGGAGCTCAAGGAGCAGCGCGGTGAGTGCTGCGCGACAAGAGAGAGGATGAGGGAGCGAGAGAGGCTGATGCCGAGTGCTCATGGCGGCAGAGTACTGCTCGTGGCTCGAGAACGTCAAGACGTTCATCGATGCCTGAGGCGCGCGCGAGCCTTAATGCCATACTACACCACTCAGCGACGGGCCTTGTGACTGCCTGAGCGGGAGTACGGAGCCCAAGTCACTGCGTGTCTGCGGTGCAGCATCGGCCCAGAGCAGGGCCAGAGGCGTAGTTGCTGGCTCTGCATGCCGGCTCTCCCTCGGCCGTCGCTTGCTTGACGTGATCGGCGTGTAAGAGTCTGCTTGAGAGCACTACGCGCAGCAGCAGCAGGCGCCCAGGAGAGTCTAGTGCCGCTAGTAGTAGCCCGTTTCCTGCGCCGCTGTGGGGTCGCGTGAGACTGTTAAACTCGCCAGTGAAGAGCAGCGACCCCGTGACTGTCGCCTGTGCGTGATGATGCGCCGCGAGATGACGGCGAGATGGAGGTGGCGCCGGCCCCTGAAGGCGACGCTGCGCGGCGCGCATGTGGCGTGTCGATCTCGCTGGCGCGCGGCTGGCGGGCCGCCGGAGCGGCGCGATGTTGCTCCACAGCGGCCGCGCGCCCCTTACACGTCCCACCACCATCACCCTCCTCTCCCCACCATGTCCGTTGCCCCTCCCTCCCTCGGCCGCCACCTCGCTGACTCTCTTCTTGCGCGCGCAGGAAGATCTACGCGCTGCACCTCTACGCCACGCCGCCGGGCGCCGGCGCCGTCAGCCTCGTCTCGGCCTGGGAGCTGGGCAGCTTCGGCTTCCTGCAGCGCGGCACCGTGCAGGATGTCATGGGCTTCATGAGCAAGGTGCGTGGCAGAGAGAGACAGGCGCGGCGAGGCGGGCAGGGGTGCGGCGGGACGGGCGGCGGCGCGGCAGGCCGTGCGGTGTGCGAGGGGGGACGGCTGAGACGCGGGCGAGGCAGAGCACCATGCGCCACGTCGCTGCGGCAGGGATGCGCCGGTGCAGCATTGTGCTCGCAGCTAGCCTGGCCAGCGTCGATGGGCGATCGGCCGCCTAGATGGACAATGTGGGAGAGCTCTATTGCGCTCGCACAGCCAGCGCAGGCGGCGCGCCTCGGCTGCGTACTACGACAGCAGCGAGATGCGATTGGCCTGCTGCGTCGTGTGCGCATGATCGTGAGGAAGGAGCGCAGCAGGTCACTCGATGGGCGCTCAGGCTGCAGCCGCTGTCCCACCTCGTCTGCGGTCCATTGCACGTCCGCACGCGCCGCTCAACTCGGCGATGCATCATGCCGCACTGCTGGCGCTCCGTTGACTGGGCGCTGCTGACACTCGCCCGCGCAGACCGTCGCCGAGCGCACTCCTCCCACGCAGCGTCAAAGCGTGCAGGAGAATGCCTACACGGCGCACGTCCACGCGCGTCCCGCATCCGACGGCATCGTCGGTGTCCTCGTGTGCGACAGCGAGTATCCCTCTCGCGTCGCCTTTTCGCTCCTTCAGAAGACGCTCGACGACTTCCTGCTGCGTGTCCCGCGCGGCACGTGGGAGCCGCGCGTGAATGCCATCACGACGGGAAGCGCGACGGGCCCGGCAAAGGGCGTCGGGATCCTCGAGAACAGCGTCTTTCCGCAGGCGCAGGAGAGCCTGCAGCGCTACCAGGATCCGAGACAGGCGGATCAGATCATGAAGGTGCAGCAGGAGCTGGACGAGACGAAAATTGTCTTGGTGAGTAGGCGAGACGAGATGGCGATGGGGGAGGGGAGGCGGAGCGATGGAGAAAGATGAGCGGGGCGTTGGAGAAGCGGAAGGCGGTCCGATGAAGAAGGGGGAGGCGGGGCGATGATGAGGCTGACACTGCGTGCGGCTGCAGCACAAGACGATCGACTCGGTCCTGCAGCGCGGCGAGGACCTCGACAAGCTCGTGGAGAAGAGCGGCAGCCTGAGCGCGCAAAGCAAGATGTGAGTGCTGCCCGCTCGGTGCCATCATGCGTTCGCTGACTCCTCTCCGCAGGTTCTGTGAGTGTCGCCGACGAGCGCCGCGCCGCGCCGCCATGACTGACTCTTGCCCCGCTCACCTCGCCAGACAAGAGCGCAAAGAAAGTCAGTTGCCCTCGCCTCGAGCGCTGTCTACGCTGCTGACCATTGCTCTTACCTCTCGCCGCGCAGCAAAATTCGTGCTGCATCATCATTTGATCCGCTTCTCCCTCCTCGCCTCGCCGCGCACTTGTTTCCCTATTCTCCTTCAGCTCATACTGCCCCGCGCCGCGCATCTGCCGTCGTCTGTGTCCATGCATATCCGGTCCCTGTGTCTGTGACTGAGGTGTGAGAAGCAACAGGCGCGGCTGTGACAACGGCGGACTGAAAAGTGAGCGGCTGGCGCATGAATGCACAGCTAGAATGATGGGGTTTTCATAAAATACAGGGCAAGTGTAAGTTCAATGAAGTTGAAGCTGCAGACAAAATTCTCCGGCATGCCCCGGGCCCCTCTGGTCTCACCAACCCTGTCTTCCACGTCATGCCTGTCAGTACAAAGCGCCCCCTTGCCCTGCCCCCACCACACCACTGTGGCGCTGTCTACTACCAACATTGCATGCAGCAGCCGCTTGCCAGACCATGCAGGACAACATTTTGAGTGCGCTCACTATGACCTTGCAGCCAGTGTCACCTGGTGTTGCCAGCATTGAGGAGCCATTAAGCAGTCTTGGGCGCGCTTGCGCAATGCCTGCGCGCGCTCTCCATCACTGACCTTGCGCACAAGGAGCAGGAGTGCAAGCTGCAGGCACGCAAGGCATAGGAGCAGCAGGCTGCTTGTTTGTGAGTAGCAACAGCTTGACCAGCTTGGCAAGAACAATGTGAGCCTGCCGCTTGTGCAGTGTCTTGGTTCTGGGCTTGAGCGCAGTGAGCCTATTTGGTCCAATTGTTGCGTGCACATTTAGCCACCTTGCCTGAGCAAGAGCGCTCTGGCACGTTGCAGCACAAGCACAATCTTGTGTTTAGCCTCAGCGCCAATGTCAACGTTGACGTCCAACTCCTCTTTGCGCAGCCGCAAATGCGCTCATTGCAGCTTGGGCGGCAGCCGCGGCGCCATCTTGACTCACTCCAAACAAGGGCAAAAGGTTATTGGCAGAGTCTGGATGAGCGTGAGCCTTGTCAAAGAGACATTGGGTGTCCCTGAACAACAGAAGCAAGAACAGAGAGAGAACTCTGGTCAATGTGTAAAGTTTTGTTGGTGAGGAAGAGAGGCAGTTTTACAAAGACACTGGGCAACGGGAGCAAGTAGCAGCAAATAGAACAGGAATGGATCCAGCTGGTATGTGAGGCCAGAGGAAGAGGGGAGGGGGCTGGTTGTGAAGATCAAGCAATGTCAACAAGCAGAGACAGGCTAGAGAGACAAGCCCTGCCCTGGTGCTTGCGTGCCTACCTGAGACAGCTGATGCAGAGCACCCTGCGCTGGCCATGCAGGCTGTACTGCTTGGGCATGTTGGCCTGCATGGCCTCTGTCTTGGGCACATCAGCCCCCATCACTGCCCTCAATGGTGTTGTGCTCTTGCTCACCTTCATTGCCATGCCTCTCACTTGTTGCGTACTTGTGCTGTGCTTCATTGCCGCCAGTGCTTGCGGGCACAGGGCCATGCGGGCCCAAAGCTAAGTGGCAGACCCTGGTGCTCCTCAGAAAGCAGAGGCAACATTGTGCGCGGTCCTGCTTCTGCTGCCAACAATGGCAGAACAAGGAGATCATGCTGCTCACCACCCAAGTGTGTACGCAATCTCCTTGCCTTTGCCCACGCTGACCTCCCTCAGCTGACCTCCCTCAACCTCCCTTGCCATGTCCGCGTGCTGAACAAGACGCTGGGCATTGCCAGCATTGAGGAGACTGAGACGTTGTCAGGCAAGCGCAGCAAGGCAAGCGCTGTCAAGGACTTGCCTGGCAATGACAAGACGTTGTTGGGCAAGCGCAGCAAGGCAAGCACCATCAAGGACTTCCCTGGCATTGAAAAGACATTGTCGGGCAGAGCAGTTTTGCCTCTGGCGCCGCAGCCTCCTTGATTGGCAGGGCACTTAGACCAACATTGTTGATAAAGTGTGTGCGTGACTGGACCAGCCTGTGGTCCAAGGCGGGATTGAATGTGGGGAGAGCAGGAGGCAATGCGCAGCAGCAGCGCAGCACAGCTGCGCCAGCGCGCAGTTCTGTCTTGCAGGCTGTCAATAAAGTGCAAGAATGCACTATATTTGGCCGCCAGCGTGCCCCTTGAGATCATGGAGCATGGGCTGGCTCATTAATTGCTGCAATTGCTCTGTTGATTGCCATGACTGCTTGTGTGGGGCAGGGACATATTGGTACTGGCCTGGGAGCACCGCCTGCCAGCATGTTGCAGACATCTACTGCACCATGGAACGGCTCTGGGTTCAAGTGCAAGCAGAGCCCACCCAGGTTGCACAGGTGCAGCTTGCTGCTGCGCGCATTGAGGGCAATGGCTGCTTTTGGCTCTTGCCTGCAGCTTGCTCATTGCGCAAGGCGCCAATGGTGTGTGCTGGAAGAAGAATTTCTACTTGACCATACCTCAGCTCTTTGAGGGGCAGGAGCAGAACTGCCTCAATGCTGCTGCACGCTCAGGTAGTACTGCAGACCGCAAGGGCATCTCAGAGGAGGACTGGTTTGCAAGTGCTGACAGCGCGCTGGCAGGCGCAATTGCCACGCGCAAGACCCAGGCAAGAGACTAGCGCTGCGCAGGTTGGCGTGGATGCGTGAATTGTTGCCGCAGCAACAACTTTGACTGCAGCGCAGCCTCTGGCTCAAACTCACAGTGCTGCCCCCGCTGCAGCCACAGCTGCTCGGGCAGTGTGCCAGAGGCACCCCCCCCCCCCCTGGAGACGCTGCACAACGGCGGCGGCGGTACTTCTAGCTGCCTCGCAGCAGGTCGGCAACCGCAGCGCGCTCCGTGCCTTGGGAATGCGTGTGTTTTATGTTTCGGCTCACCAGATCTTCTCAAGATCTTGCCAGAAAACGAGCCCCTATAGTTTAACGGTAGAATACGGTACTAGTACATAGTATGCCATACTGAGGAGGTAGTTCGATTCTGCCTGGGGGCATGCTTTTTGCGCGGGGCGCGGGGGCTGCTTTTTGCCCGGCGCGGCGGCGAGGTGTTGGTCTCGTGGCGCACGCGCCGCGCCTTGGCTCCCGACCACCACCCCGCCAAGATCGCCTCTGCTGGCATCCCAGTGCGTAGCTCTGCGCTCCATGATGCAGGGCCCCGCCCGCTCGTCGTCGCCGCATCGCATGTGCCGCAGCTGCGCGCCTCCGCTCTCGGCAGCGCTTGCGCCGCTGTCTCCGTGCTGTGCCCTTCTCCTTCGCTTTCTCATCGCTTCTCCCTCGCTTCTGACTGCGCACGCTTACGGCAAGGGTGGTCTGCTCGCTTGCGCTGACACACGCCTATCCTAGCCATGATCCGCCGCCCGCCCACCGCCCTCGAGCTGACGAGCGCCGACGTGGATGAGCTGCGCGCGCAGCGGCACAAGGCCATCGTGCCTCGCGAGACCGCCTCGCCGGGCGGCAGCGACGCCTCTGCTGCCGCCGCGGCTGGAGCACAAGATGAAGAGAGCGGCAGCGTGCGCGAGCATCCTGCCGATGCTGCTGAGCGACAGCGCTTTGCGGCGAGCGCGAATGAGCGCATCCATGGTGCGGCCTAGCTGCGGTCGGTCGCCCATGCCGCAGCGACATCAAAGCCGTGCCAGTCTAGAACGCCGGCGCGCACTCGCACTCGCGGCTGTCGGGCTACCGACGCTCGCTCCTCAGCCGGGCCTCTCGTCGACCCGGCCTCGCAAGCCACCCACCTTGGCGCCTGCAGCGCCGACTCACCGCGCTCGGCCTGTTTCGCTCTCATGGCCCCGCGGCATGCCGCTCCAGGCTCTCTTCTACGTGCTATCTACATAGGCGAGCTGTTGCCGCATCACACTACGGCTGCGGCTCTGTACATGCGAGCGCGCCTGAGAGTAGGAATGGAAGTGCATGCGTGCCACTTTTTGCGACGCTATTCCTGTTCGTCTTGCGCCTATTGCGTCCCGCCTGCGCAAAATTCCGTGCTCCTGTGTGTTGGCGTGACGAGTGAGCGCCGAGGGACTGCCGTCACAGCTCGCATAGAGTGGCTTCGACATTGTGCACGCATCTCTTCTCAGGCATCAAGCCATGGCGCCGGCGCCGGATCGGTTTAGCGTCTCGAGAACGGCGCGTGCGGCGCTGATGAGGCGGTGCGGCGCGCGTCGTGGTGCGGTCGGACCGCTCGGCCGGGCGCGCGGCGCGTCTTTTGTCTTGTGGAGTCGAGGCTTGGCGCTTCCTCTCTCTCCATCACCCCCTCACCCATGCCGCTGTCTCGCCGCCCCTCGCTCGCACGCGGCGGGCGCGACGGCGGCGCCCGCAGCGCCATGGCCGGCAGCAGTGCGGCGCCGGGCCCAGCACTGTCCCCATCCTCCTCGGCCGCCGCAGCTGCCGGCCCGCCCAGCTCGGCGCCGTCCGGCCTCGCCCGCTTCTTCTCCACGCGCAGGAGCCGCGCTGCCGCCGCCGCCGTCGCCGCTGGCCCTTCGGCTGGACCATCAGCGCATGGTCGCTCCGCATCGGTGCATGCAGAGCCCTCCTCTTCGCACTACGATGCCATCCCGGTGCAGCACATCACGCGCGCTACCGACTACGCCGCAGCCGCGTCCACTGCACCTTTGCCTCGGCCGTCGCACAAGGGCTCGCGCTCCGTACCGCTCATCGAGCTGCCGCTGCGCTCGCCGCCAGGGCTATCGTCCGCTGCATCGGCTGCTGCCTCTCCCGCGTCACTCGGCGCCACGTCACCTGCACATGCCTCGTCGCCACGACACCCACATCATGCTCGCAGCCGGACAAACAGTCTCGCCGGGCGGCTGGGTGCGCTCTTCGTGGGCAGCGACGAGCCCGCGCCCGTCGCTGCGCACGAGCCCGCCACGGCGACGCCCAGGTCCGACTCGCACGCCACGGCGACGCCCTGGTCCGACTCGCATGCTTCAGATGCGCCAGCCTCACACGCCTCGGTGCGCTCGCAGAGCAGCACCGGCGTGGCAGCGCTCTCGCAGCGTGTCCGACGCATGTCGTTGGGTCGCCGAGCACATACCTCGTCCGGCTCAGCGCCGCCCTTCAGCGGCTCTTCACAAGTGCCGCAGCCGACGCCAGCTACGGCGCCGCTACGGCAGTCCGCACGCATGGGCGGTCCCGCTCGCAAGCTCAGCCTGCGCCTGCGCAACGGAAGAGGCCCCAGTCCACCACGGACGCCCGAGATCGAGGCGTGGAAGCCGCATCGGCGCGTAGACAATGAGCAGGGCCAGGAGATTGCCGTGCTTGCTCGCTCGCCCGAGAGCGAGCTGCGCGTGCAAGCGGCGCCTGCCATGCCGGCGTGGCGAAGACCGCCACCGCCGCGCTTCCTGGACACGCCGGACCTCGCGGGCCCGATGGACCCAAAGGCACTGCTGCACGAGGCCGGCATCCTTAGCGATCAGAGCTCGACGCGGACCAGTCTCGAGTCAAAGTCGAGGGCGCAGAGCCGGCGCTCGACCGCAGCGCGTACTGCGGAGCACCACGGCGCCGCCACTGGCGAGCCAAACGCTGGCGTCCCATCACGAACGGAGCTGCTCGACGCCACCGGACTTGCCGATGGCCTCGGACTGGGCATTGAGCACGGCCTGGACGTGCAGCAGCCGCACGCCGCTCGTGTCGTCGAGTCCGGTGCTGCGCTCGGCTCGCCACGGCTGGCACCCGTCGACCTCGCGCTGCAGTTGCCCGATGCAAACACCTCCTACCTCTCCGTGCCACTCGACAGTCCTCTCGATCTCACGCGCCGTCCATACAGTCTCATCTCGACCGACGACGGCGTCGACACGCCCATCATCGGCTTGCGTCGCCTCGTTGTCTCCACGACCGAGGGCGCGGCCGACGAGGAGCTCTTCTTTCGCCCGCCGACTGCGCGCTCTGCGTCGCCGTGTCTGGAGAAGAAGAGCAGCACGGACGTGCTTGAGCCGCCGCTGCCTTTCGATGCGGAGCAGTTCCGCGAGCAGTGGGAGAAGCGCAGCTCGCAGATCGACCGCAGTTCGTCGCCACCAATGTCGCCACGCGACAGCGTCGTCGCTCCCTCACTGCACAGCAAGCGCGCCAGCACGGCAGCTTCCAAGCGCTTCAGTGCACACGGCAGCGAAGCAGGCGCAACGGACGTGAGCGCACTCGGCGCCGAAGTGTCGCACGCTCGTCGAATGGCGGCCGTGCCGATGGGGACTGCGCGTGTGGCCGAGTGGACACGACGGACTCGGAGGAACTCCAATCCGACGCTGGGCGATGGCTCGCAGGCAACAGCGCAGCTGTCACGCTCGCTCAGCCTCTCGAAGGCATGCCCGCCGCTCCCGGCGCAGCTGACGCAAGAGGCGCTCGCCGAAGCAGCACGACTCGGCAAGGCGCCATCCAAGCGCATCCGCCGATCCAAGAGCTCGCCGATGGACAGCAATCTCAACGTCCTCTGGGGCAGCGCAGCGGCAGTGCCGCCACTGCTTCCGCTCGCCGGCATTCCCTCGCAGGCTCATGCGCCCAAGTCGCCGAAACGTCGCCTTGCTCGCCTGCCGGCTGCCACGCCGAGCCCGGCGCGGACCCTGCGCCCGAGCAGGAGCGGCAACTTGCAGGCAGCCGCGGCAGCAGACGACGCAGATGCTGCCGCGCCCGACGTCGACGCCAGCCACACCGCTGCGCTTTCCTCTGTTAGGACCAGTCCTCACGCGCGCACTCGTCCCTCATACGCCACGAGCGAAGAAGCGGCGCTGGCACGCCGGCGCGAACAGGCGGAGCGCGAGAAGCGGCGTGCGGAGCGCGAGCGGCAGCGCGAGGAGAAGCGCCTTGCGGCGTACGCCAGCAAGAAGCTCAACGATCCGCTGCTCGCCACGCGACTGGCGCTGGTGGGCCTCGCGGAGGGAGACGGTGAGGTGCGCTCGCCGACGAGGAAGCAGTCGGGCGAAGAGCCTCGAGCGGACACGAAGGCGCCGAGCAAGGACTGGGCACTGCGAGAGGAGCCATTCCGAGGCGTCTCGATCTCGTCGGGCCCGTACACGAGCCGGGCGGTGCAGCTTGCTCTTGCTCCTCCGGCACGCAGAGTCTCGGACGTCGCTGCCGCCGCTGCGGCTCCGCGGACCCTCTCGCCCGCCCCGTCGTCAGTGCCGCCGCTCGACTCGCGCAGCAGCTTCTACACTGCCGCCTCTGGTGTCTCGGACGAGGAGGACGAGGCGTCCACCGTCCTCGGACTTGATCCTCTTCGTTCCACCTCTGCCGCTGCCCCTCCCTCTGCCGTCGACGACCGCACCTCGCTCGCCACGACGCCCGAAGGACTCGCGGCGCTCGAGTGGCCCGTGCCGCCGTCGCGCTCGCAGCATGCACAGACGTCCGACGACGGCACGCTGCTTGCTCGCCCCGGGCTGCGCATCTCTGGCGGCACGGAGCTCAACGCCTGGCCCGGCGCTGCGTCGCCGCCGTCTGTGGCGAGCAGAGCAAGCCCGCAGATGCTCTCTCTCGCGGGCATCACTCGACCGATCTCTGGCAGACTGGTCGCCAGTCCCGAACGTGGTGCGCCGCGGCTTGTGGCAGCTCCTCATCATCTGCTTGCGTCGCCAGCGCTGCGCTCGGAGCGCGCCAGCGTCGCGAGCATGACGAGCGCGCCCGGCACGCCAGTGCTGCGCGACGGCTGAGCGACGAAGACGCGCACCTCTGTATACTACTCCACGAAGCAATGCTCTCGCTAATGCCACCAACAAGCCACTGCTGCTCGTCTGCTGTGTGTGCGCTGGCGCTGCTGCCTGTGCTTCGCGAGGGCAGTGAGGCGGGGCGGGCTCGGCACCAGAGGCGTGGGAGCGGTGCCCCGTGCGTTCCTGGCGCCAGCGCACCAACTCCGACGCGCTGCACCGCCTCGTCTCGTTCTGCCTGCCTGGTGCGCCCCACTCCTTGCCTCCCGACCACACCACCGGTCTTTCCTCACTCGCCATGTCCTCTGTGCCGCCGCCCAGCAGCGGCTCCACGCCCGCGCTGGATCTCGGTGCGCTGGCCGATGCGCTCGACGACTCGCCGGCAAGTGCCTCGGCTGGCGGTGCACCCGCTGCGCCTGCTGCGCCCGCGACGGCGAGCAGCACAGCCAAGGCGGCATCGCCAGCACTCGCACCGCTCAGCACCAAGGCGACAGTCACAGACGCGCATGACTCGCCTGCCACTCTCTCGCCCTCCTCTCCTCGCGCCGCCACCACCGCACCGCCCGCCGCTGCGCCTCCGGCGGCGCAGCCGCCGCCGGAAGACGCAGAGGTCGCACACATACGCAGCATGTTCCCCGACTTTGACGCCGACACGGTGCGCGCTGTGCGCGCGGCCAGTGGCGGCGGCGTCGAGGCCAGTGAGTAGGCGCGCGAGCCAATGCGGCGGACGGCGGCATGCCCCGGTATGGCGTCGTCGAGGGGGTATCGTGGGGAGACAGGCTGGATTCAGCTTCGCTGCCGCATCTGGTCTCTCTGCTTTGCTCTCCTGCTCGTTGCCTGGGCTCAGGTGCTCCTGCTCTCACCTCTGCAAGCAGTCCGCTGACTCTTATTCGCGCCAGCTGTCAACGCCCTCCTCTCAATGTCCGACCCCAACTACGTCGCTCCACCGCCTGCCCTCTCGCAAGTCGAGGCCGATGCCGCCCTCGCCCGCTCCCTCGCCTCGTCTTCTCCCGCTCCCCGCAGTGGCGGCCAGCGCGGCGGCGGCGGCGCAGCCGCCACGGCCGCCTCCTTCTTTGGCGGCAGCACCGAGCCGGAGAGGCCCTTCTTCGAGGGCACGGGCCGGAGCTATGCGGATGCTCCGTTGAGCTACCAGCCAAGAGTGCGCAAGACGCCGGGCGCGCAGCCACAGGCGCAGCAGTCGTGGAACCAGCCGCCGCCGCCGCCGCAGCAGTACGGCCAGCAACCGCAACAGCAGTGGGGCCAGCAGCAGCAGCAGCAGCCTCAGGCGCGCCAAGGCGCCTGGCCGGGTCCTGAAGAGGCAAAGAAGTGGCAGGAGGACATCAATCGCGCAGCTGAAGGTGAGTCAGTGGTCTGGCAGGGCATAGCGTGTGGCAACGAGGGAGGGATGGACGAAGCGACGCTGACGCTGACCGCTCCTTGTCGCTCGGCCACGGGTGACAGTCGGCTTCGCCAAAGCCGCATCGACCTTCTCGATGCTCAAGCAACGCGTCGTCGCCGCCACCGCCAACGCCAGCGGCAACAGCGGCAGCGCCAATGGCGGCGCCTCCTCTTCCACGCCGCAGGCCTCGTCGCCGTACGCCGCGCAGCCTCCGGCGCGCACGGCCTCGGCCTCGCCGCGCTACGACCACGATCCCTCGCCTCTCTCCGACTCGCAGCTCGCGGCGCTGCTCGCACGCGAAGGCACGCCGCTGCCTGCTGCGCCGAGCCGCGGCGATCGCGTCATGGGCGCCAAGCCCGGCACGTTTGCCAGTCGCTACGGCAGCGCTGCCTCGTCTGGCGCCGGTGCCGCTGCGGCAACGGGTGCGAGGGCGAGCCAGAGAAAGCAGGAGGAAGAGGAGGAACTTGGGTGGGGAGACGTGGGACGTGCGCCGATTCGCATTACGGACAACAGCAAGCCTGCGACACCCACGCCTGCCGCAGTCGGAGTTGGTGCGGCTGCTGGTGCAGGCGCAGGAGCGGCAGCGGCAGCGACGGGCCGCAATGCGGTGGAGCGCATGGAGGGACGAGAAGGCGGCGGGCTGATCAGTCCGCGAGCGGCGAGCAAGGAGCGCATGAGGGACGACGAGCCGGAGATGAAGACGGAGGGAGCGGCGGGCAAAGGCAAGGAGGAGGAGGAGAGCGACGATGAGGATCTCAGCTATGTGGAGAATCCGTGAGTTACGGTCGAGCGCATAGAGGAAAAGGAGAGCGAAACGCGCGAGCGAGAGACTAGCGGAAAGCTGATCAGCGACATTCTGCAGCTTCGACGAGGACTAGACGCCCGCTTCCGCAAGCCGGGCTCGGCCGCTCTGGACGCTGGCCCGACCATGAGCGGGCCGAGCGACCTTGAAGATGCGAGAGCAACGAGACGGAGGGCGAGATGTACGTGCCGCCTGGTGCTGTACGCCGTGTGGTGCGCGATGCGATGGCGAAGCGGGCGACGAGATGGGAATGAGATGAAGGTCACTGTTCTCTCCTGATGGCGCTGCGCTGTCTCTGTCCGAGTGATAAGAGGAGCGCCGGGAAGGAGCGAGGTGCTGCGTTGGTGGCACGGGCCATGGGCGGAGGCGAGACAGCAGAATGAGTGCGGCCGCGGCGGCGGCACGTCACGTGCCGCGTGTCGCATGCGCGTATGGTGCCGCGACCTTCTCGCGCTTGGGCGTCCAACGCTTCCTTGCGCACCACCACACACCATGCCGTCGACGTCTTCGCGCGACTCGCGCATCGCGTCGCACTCGCACATCAAGGGCCTCGGCCTCGCCGACGACGGCAGTGCGCTGCCCGTCGGCTCGGGCTTCGTGGGGCAAAAGTCGGCGCGCGAGGCCTGCGCCCTCGTGCTCGACCTGATCCGCGGCAAGCGCTTCGCCGGGCGCGCCCTGCTGCTGGCGGGAGGGCCGGGGACGGGCAAGACGGCGCTGGCGCTCGGCATGGCGCACGAGCTCGGCAGCAAGGTGCCCTTCTGTCCCATGGTCGGCAGCGAGGTGTACTCGGCAGAGGTCAAGAAGACCGAGGTGCTGATGGAGAACTTTCGGCGAGCGATTGGTGAGTTGGCGTGGAGGGCTGATGTGTGGCAGGGATGAGGAACAGACAGCACTGGAGTGGATGGCCGGGCCACGCAGCGTAATCAGAGGCGTGAGAGGCAGGGCCTGCGCGCGAGTACAACGGAGCAGTGGGTGCGCACGAGCGCTGCAACCGTGCGCCCCAGCGAGAGTGTGCACGCGCAGCGACGGGTGCGGCCGTCTATGGCGCCCGCGCTTCCGCTGGTTGCGCCAGGCAGCGCAGCCGGCCTCGGCGGCGCAGGCGCACAGCGGGCACTGCACTCCACCAGGGCGGCACGAGGCAGAGGCAAGCTGCGGCGCTTCCCTGCAGCAGTCGCGCCAGCGGCGTCGTCTGCCTTGTGCGGCACCAAACCGCTCACCACCTCCTCTTCAGGACTGCGCGTGCGCGAGACGAAGGAGGTGTACGAGGGCGAAATCACCGAGCTGACGCCCGTCGAGGCCGACAATGCCCTCTCGGGCTACGGCAAGACGATTGCGAGCGTCGTGATTGGCCTCAAGACGGTCAAGGGCACCAAGCAGCTACGCCTCGATCCCAGCATCTACGAGAGCATCATGAAGGAGCGCGTGAGCGTCGGCGACGTCGTGTACATCGAGGCCAACACGGGCGCAGTCAAGGTGAGTGGGGCACGACGGAAGGGGGGGGGGGGGGAAAGGGGGGGGGGGGGCGGGGGGGGGGGGGGGGGGGGGCAAGCGCGGAGGGGAGCGACTATGGCAGCGCCAGCAGGACCTGGGATCGGCGAGGGAAGCACCGCAGCGCCTTCTGTGCGAAGCGAGGCCGGGGCGAGAAGGAATAGGGGCAGGTGACGGCACGGCGCGCCGCGGCGAGGGCGCCACTCGGGCAGCACGGCCTGGCGCATAGGGGGCAGCTAGGCTCAGGCGGAGGCGCGAGGAGGGTGTTGACTTTTGGTTCGAGCGGGCCGCTAGACGAGGGGCAATGCTACCCCCCTCCCCCCTCCCGGCATCCCGCCGCATCCTCCTTCCTCCGCGCGTCACTGACGGCTCTTGCACAGCGCGTCGGCCGCTCCGACGCATACGCCACAGAATTTGACCTCGAGGCGGAAGAGTACGTGCCGCTGCCCAAGGGCGAGGTGCACAAGCGCAAGGAAGTCGTGCAGGACGTAACGCTGCACGACCTCGACATGGCCAATGCCAAGCCGCAGGGCGGACAGGACATCATGTCCGTCGTCGGCCAGCTCGTCAAGGGCCGCCGGACGGAGGTGACGGACAAGCTGCGCGCCGAGATCAACCGCGTCGTCGATCGCTACATCGAACAGGGCATCGCGGAACTCGTGCCCGGCGTGCTCTTCATCGACGAGGTGAGTGCAGAAGTGAAGATGACGGGCCAAGCGCGGCAGTCGCACTGCGATAGGCGGACGCCACCGCGGCGGTTGCATTGTATGTCTCTGACACATCTTCGCCCCCTCCCCTCTCAGGTGCACATGCTCGACCTCGAGTGCTTCACCTATCTCAACCGTGCTCTCGAGTCGACGATTTCGCCGCACGTCATTCTCGCCACGAACCGCGGCGAGTGTGTGGTGCGCGGCACCGAGTACGACGGCGGCGCCTCGGGCACGGGCGAGGGCATTGTGGCGCCGCACGGCATTCCGCTCGATCTGCTCGACCGCTGCATGATTGTGCGCACCAAGCCGTACGCGGCAGAGGAGATCAAAGAGGTGCTGCGATTGCGCGTCAAGACGGAGGGATTGGCCATTGCCGAGGAGGCGCTGGAGAAGCTGACCGAGGAGGGCGTGCGGAGCAGTCTGCGGTGCGTGTTCCCCCCCCCCCCCCCCCCCCCCCCCCCCGCCTTGGCAGGTACGCACTGCAGCTCCTCTCGCCCGCCAGCATCCTCTCGCGCATTGCAGGACGCAGCGAGATTGCCGTCGCCGACATCGCAGAGACCGACGGCCTCTTCCTCGACGCGCGCCGCTCGGCGCGACACCTCGCGGGCGCCGATGGCGCGGGCATGCTGTAGGCGAGGCGGGACCAGCGCAGGGGGCCGACGCAGGGCCCAATGTCACTCTATATACGCTCTACGCGCGCAGAGCAGGGGGGCGGGGCGAGGGGCGGGCATCTCTAGATTGCGCGGTGCGGAGTGAAGGACCAGGACTGGCAGAGCAGTGCGGGCAGCAGCGGCGGCCAGACGTCTCGAGCGGCAAGGACGGCCCCTCAGGCTCGCGATCCAAGCAGCGGCCGCTCCTCGTCCTCAGCACGCTCCTCTTGCGGCGCTTCTCCGCGCGCATAGTTGAGTGCGCCCTGGTGTGCGCGGGTACGGTCAGCGTGCGCTCGTGCTCTCGCAGCCGGCCCCCATGCCCCACGCACCTCGGCAGGCACAATGGCGGCTCCAAATGCCACGTGGTGTTGCCACATGATGATGGCGTCGAAGAGGAGGGTGAGGAGGGAGAGGCCGCTGGAAGAAGGGAGGAGGGCGAGGAAGGGAGGCCAACGTCAGCTTTGCTCCTCTTGCTCACCGCGCGCACCAGACTCACATCTTGCCCGGATCGCCCAGCACGCCCTTCCAGTTGCCCGCAATCCGCGCGTCGACGGCCAGCTGCGCCAGCGAGAGCAGGCCGCCGCCGAGGTCCAGCACGACGTTGGTCACTGCAAAGCCGCGCGTCGAGCGACGACGGTGGTTCATTGCGATTTGCGGCTGGGGAGAGAGGGGTGAGCCACGCAGAGAGGCCTCAGAGCAGGCAAAGGACGCACCAGCCACTTGAGAATGGTAATGCAGAGCTTGATGGAGCTGCACACCCACACCACGTCCAGCCAGCTCCACGCGCGCGTCGCCGCCGCCGCCGCGCCCGTCGCGGCGGCGAGCAGCACAACGAAGACGCCGAACGTGCCCTGTGCCCAGCCGGCGACGTGCTGTCCGGGCGCCTTGGGGAAGCACAGCGCCATGAGCGCCTGCGCGAGACAGAGGAGCAGACCGTGGATGGCGAATGCGACCTGTGGGGGAGAGAGGCGCTGTTGAGCCCCGGCGCATCATCGCAGCAAACGGCGATTACCGCCTCCGGTCCCGGTCACTGTCTTCCCCGCACTGCGCGCTCGCCTTGCGCACACACACGTTGCCTGCCACATGCCCGCCGCGTGTGAGCCGGCACGCAGCCTTGGGAGCCGAAGCACGCTTGGCTCCTTCTTGCCTCTTCGGCTGTCCCAAGACCCGCGCGCGAGATGTGCAAGCGAGCGAGGCACGTCGCCTCTGCGTCCGTCTCTACCTGCCTCGCGGCTTGTGCACACACACACACACACACACACACACACACCGCGCCCGCCGAGCCGCCCACTCGCGCCCTCGCCACGAGCAGGGCCGAAGCGAGCCCATGTGCGCGTCCGTCTCGCGCGCGGCACGCCCATGCGTAGTCTTACGATGCGAGCTGCTTCGCCCTCATTCCCGCATGGTCACTTCGCTGGCGTGCCTACCCCGCCACTCCACGCCGGCTCCTCGTGCCTCCACACGGCCACTCACATCATTTGCATGCGTGCCCGGCCATTCTCCATGTCTCTCTCTATACGCCTGCCTCACCGCGCTGCTGGCCCAGAGCGCCAGTGTCGCGGCGCTGTAGCATGCAAAGCCGAGGGTGTTGAGCAGGACAAAGTCGGGCGAGAGGCCGGCGAGGTTGCGGCGGCGCAGCAGCAGCAGCGTCTGCGGCCAGAAGGAGAGGGACCAGAGCGTGAAGTAGGCCCAGCCGAGCGTGGCGGAGAGGAGCGAGAGGGAGGACATCGGCCCGCAAAGCCCGTGCCCGAGATGCAAGCGACGCTTGCTGGCTGGCGGGTGCGTGGTGGTGGAAAGGCAGCCGACTCGCAGTCGAGACGCGCGCCGCTTGGCCCGTGCAGGCGCAAGTGCCGAGGCGAGCACAAGGCGCAATCTCGCGCTCTGCACGCGCCGCTGTCGCACGTCTTCCCTCGATGCGCCCTCGTCATTGCAGCTCCGTTGATGCGTGGCAGCAGCGTCAACATTTCCTGCATGCACCAGACCAGCTGCAAAATGCAAGAGTAGACATTCAAGACATAGACGCAGCACAAGCTAGACGAACAAGACGAGAGGCAGGAGGGCATAGAGCTTTGCGGACGCGGGCGGCGGTGGTCCGCACGCCGACGTTGGGCGCATAGAAGGGGTATCCGGATCGATGATTGCAGCCTGGTGCAGCTTAGGCGGAAGAGGCAGTCGAGGCATGGCTCGTCTCGCGCGTGTGCGTGCTGCTGCCCGCATTCTCCTTCTCCTTCTTGCCGATCAACTTGCCCCACTCCTTGGTGTGGAGCAGATGATGATGCTGCGATGCGTCGTCAGCTCCGCTCTCTCTCTTCTCCGCTCTGCGCCTCGTCAAAACTCACCTCCTTGGGCACATCAAACTCCGGACGAGGAGTGGTCACCTTGTAACTCTTCGTTCCCTGCGCAGCGAGGCCCTTCTCCTTCTCCACGCGAAGATCAAACTGGAGGGCGCCGCTCCTCTCGTCGTAGTCGCAGATGCAGTAGTTGCGCGCACCCATGATGGCCGAGTCATTCTGCTTCTTGCCGTCGAGGCCCTCCTCGAAGAGGGGCACCATGCTCTCCTTCGTTCCGCAGTAGAAGAGACTGCGGTGCGTCTTCGTTGCGAGCTTGTTGAGCATGCTGATGACGGGCGGCGGAGGCGGTGCGTTCACTGAGAGGATGTCAGCACGCAAGCAAGGATCACTCCGAACGTAAGATCGAGAGTGACGCACCGATTGCGCTCGAGATGATGGCCAGGGCGTACTTCGGATCATGCGCAGGCGAATGGGCGTGGTAGCCGTAGAACACGCCGACGCCGCAACTGCCAGAGCAAGCCAGAAGGTGTCAGGAACATCTGCGCCCGACTCTGCTCCAATCTGGAGCACTCACGCATGGACATCGCCCGACAGGTACGTCATGCGGATGCGCTTCTCCAAGCTAAGTTCCTGGACACGCTCGACGAGCCAGTTGCGCTCCTTCTTGTGCGGCTGCGCCGTCCAGTGGTCTCCAAGGTCGTCTGTAAGAGACACATCAGCGCTGCGTAGACAAAATTTGACGAAATTCGAGCTTACCGAGGAGCTCGACTGCGAGAGCGAGGAGAGGACAGTCAGCAAGCGAAAGAAGGCAGCGAGTACGAGCCAGTCACCCTCTCCGTTAAATCGGTTAACGAATCCTTTTGCTGTGGATTTCGCAAGCAGCACGAGCGGGTTGAACTTGGACGAGAGGGTGCGTTCGAGGAAGACCATGCGGGGGTCTTTGTGGGGGCAATGTGGGTCAGCAAACACGTCCACTGGCCTTGCTGTCGCCGAGCGTCGTCCTTGCCGTCGTCTCGCTGCGCTCTCGAGGCTACTTACATGCCAGCGGCACGCCGAGGAGGATCGTGAGGTGCTCGACGCCGTCGGGCAGTGCTCTGATCGCCTTGAATATACGATCGTAACTCTGTTCGGTGCAGATCTGCGCAATCTTGCGCTCGGCACGGCAGTCGACGAGCACGATGTACTGCTTGGGGCCGAGGTACACCATGAAGGAGTGGTGCGGGATCTGCACGTACGTGGCGGGCGCGCCGATGAGGACGCTCTTGAGCGGGTGCTGCGCCTCGTCGAGGCCGTCGCAGCCGAGCGGGTTGATGAACTGCTGGAAGAGATAGTAGTAGAAGAAGCCCTTGCGGCCGACGGCGTTGAAGATGGGCGACATCATCAGGTCGTCGCTGGCGCGCAGCAAGGTCAGCATGCATGAAGCGTGGAGGCGCACGACACACGCACGGGTAGGTGCCGAAGCCGTCGATCAGGTCGTGGCTGCGTGGACGTTAGCGTGGCGCCCCCAGGACGGGCAGAGTCAGGCGGGCCTCACTCGTCGAGCATGCTGCGGGGGAGGGAGGGCGTTCAGCGGCTTGCCAGGGTGTGACGCTCATGCTCCACTCACTTGACCATCGGGATCTGCGCAATGACCTTGGAGAACGTGCCTGCGCCGAACCACTGCCCGCAGAAAAAAGACACCCGTCAGCTCCTTGCCTGATCACGCTTCACGCTTGACGCTTGGCTACGCACGTTGCAGTAGGCGTTAAAGTAGAAGCGCTCAAGACACTCTTCAATCTCGGGCGTGAGGGGAATCTCCATGCGCTTCTTCTTGTCCTGCTCGTCGTGCCACAGCTTCATCTCGGGCTCGTTCATCAGCTTGTCCGCGTACACTGCAG